GGAATAGCAGCAGTATAGCTGTACATTGCACGCGCTATTTGGATAAGGTCAGTGAGGAAAGGAATAAATGCACGAAAACTGAGAAGATATATTTGACTTACCATAATGTAAGACAGGACGCACATCCACGCTAAGCTGCCGATTACCATCTGCAGTTGCGACACTCCTGCTTCTTGCACGGCTGCCTTGGGTAACGTCCGGTGCTGAGCCATAGTACATTGACATCGGCCGTGGGTTGCCTCCCCGGCTACCGTGATTTCTATAATCAGGAGTATGGCCCCCGCCATATGGATCAATGTGGCTATGTGACAACTGAAGCTCCATTCCGCTCGCACTAGATGGCCTTTCCTGCCGTCTGAATTGTGGTTGAGGCGAAACTGACCGTTGCGAATGGATGTCGTTGGGAGACCCGTGAGACGAGTACTGCCGTGGCGAATACGGATGACTAGCAATTACCTTTGTCGGGGTAACAGTTGGAGATTGGCGATATCTACTGTTCATACTGGCTGAGTGGGAGTGGTAAGAAGCAGGGCTGGGATCTTTTTGGCCTTCGTATTGCTGGCGCTGCTCCCCTCCACGCGACGGGGGCGGCTGGGGGCTCAAGCTCCTTTGTGGTGCAGGGGACACAGCCCGGGGAATTGCCTGGTTGACTGTGTTTTCTGCCTGGCTCGTACGAGAAGAGTGGCTATTAAACATCTCCTGGGTCTGCCCGACATATTTACGAGTTGTTTTCTGCATCTGTGCTGATGTAAATGCTGGTTGGGGAGCACCAAGTCTTTTCACTGACGAATCATTGTATGCCGGAGGCGGGGTGCCACTCTGAGCAGCAGATATGTTCACATCTGTTATGTGGCTAGAAGTAACACTTGGGGGAACCGGGGTACTAATTCCGTGATATCGATCGGCCGAGACACGGACCGATGATTGTTTCCCCACACCTTTAAGATCCGCGAGAGCTTGGGCTATGGGGTCGAGGTCGTCTTCTTTCTTCGTACTTGTAGCCCCCGAAGGGACACCATCAGGAGAAGCAACATCGAAAACATTGTTGCCAATGTTTAGCTGGAAGTTGGCGCATGGGTCAACGGGTTCAGGCGTTCCCGAATGGCGACTGACGCTGTATATTGGCTTTTGATATGCAGGCTTAACTGGGCTTATTTGTTTTTGCGGCGGGGCAGACCAAGTGTTGCGGTTCACAGGGGCAGTGATCGATGGTGCTGTTTGACGCTCCTTATCGTGCTTACTTTTCCTCCGGAAGGGGCTATTGCTAAAAAAACCACTTCTTTTCTTCTGGACCTGTTTACCGCCAATCATCCCGGGAAGAGCAGTGCCGTTAACCACTTTCTTCGGAGATTGTTTCGCACCTGGTGCCTCCACACTAGAGAACGAAGTTAGATTAGAGATGTCACTATAGGAGTCCCTGCTAGATGGCCGATTGGCAGTGGTTCCACTGCTTCTTTCCGAAGGCGGTCCAGTTCTGCAGAACATTGTCATGCCGTCCGTGGGATACTCGTTGTGAGGTACATTGGGGATATCTCCATGTTGGGTTGGCTGATAATTAGGCGGAACGTGCCCTCCACGTCGGAGGTCAAGCGGCGGGGGTTGCTGCTCCTGTAATTGTTGCGGCGGCTGTTTCTGCTGTTGCGACTGCTGCTGTGGTTGATGCGATCGCTGTGGGGTCACAGTAGTTTCTCGGCTTGCTGATGTGGAAGGATCAGTATGCGTTACTGGCGTCGTCATGAGATTTGCCTGTGAGTCGTGATGGGATTCGTAAGTAGAAGGTGCCGGCGAAGCGCTTCGGTATGCTGGATTAATAGTCCTCTGAAATTGCGCAACTGAATAGCTCTCTTCCTCTGACGTCTCTGACACGGTATCGTTAAGGTCACCGCGGCAAAAATTAATATATTTGGGTGGATCAGGAATCTCCTGTCCCGTCCCTCTCTCCATTATAAACGTGCTGATATCCTTTTCAACCTCACAACTCTCAAGCGATACCCGGATTCGTTCACAGGACTGCTTTCATTAGGAACTGCGTGTCATATTCTAGCATGGTCATTGCAACTTACAGCATCGTCACTAACGCACGCTGTCGAAGCTATATTCGCATAATTCCATAGGCTGCTCTTCGTAAAATCCAGCCGTTCTTCCTCTAGGTCTTGAAACTTCTGTAATAGACGTCAGTGAAAAATTAGGCTGATTGTTTATGTATAGGTTACTTACATCGCAAGCAACCTTCCATTCTTTATTCCAGCGGCCAGTTGTTTCTTCGAGAACTTTTATGGCTGCTTCGTATTCGCTGCTGTTAGACGCTAGTTGTATCTGTGTTTTTTCCAATTTTGCCTTATTTTTGCGTTCCTCTTGTCCCATGACCATATGTCCTTGGGCCAAATAGCCTTTGATTCGGAGGCAGTCTTGTTCATAGCGATCTCGCGACTAAATAATAGATTCGAATTAACGGCTGTTAATAATATGCTAGAAGCCAGATGGAATACCTTGTTGACAGCTTGCATTTGTTGCATTTTGATTTTAAGAAGCCTTTCAATACCATTCTGTACAATCTTACGGCGTTCTTTCATACCGCCAGCAAAAGCAGCTAGCGGTTCTTCTAACTCGCTTTTCATCTGAGAAGCAATAGCTGCGTGTGTCTTCCCAATCGTTTCTGTCTCTCCGCGAACAGTATCGAGAGATGTGCGCAACGTCCCGGATTCACTAGAACCAAGGGCTTTCCGGCATAGTATTAGGAGCTTTCTTGCGTATTCATCCTCTATGGCAGCGCGGGCTGTATATGAAATGACGGTGAATATAAGAGCCAAATTCCCAAAATAATTCTGATGGCATAATGTATTACCACTTACTGCTATAGAAGGCTTTCAGTTCGTCGCAAGTGGTTTTGGCATTGTGAACTCGTTCTAGCATTGGGGCCACGCCAGCGTCATCTTTGCCCCAGAAGTTGTTTGCAACTAGAAAAATATCCATATCAGTCTTCGTCCGATCGCAACTTCTGGAACGCAATCTGGATGTGGCCATACATGACAAAGACACACTTGGGGTCCCTGAGACAGGACCAGTCATTGTGAGCAGACTTGGACAAAGCCAAAAACCATCAGGCTTATTCGAAGTAGGAAGATGGTCCTGATCTCCAGGCGTCGACTAGCGGGACACACAAAAGGTTACTTCTGCAGCAGCCAAAAAAAATGAAATAGACCACCTCCTCTTAAAAGAAAAATCCTGATGTTTCGGAGAAGGTTGCAGTTGGAGGGGGGAAGTGGTCGACCTTCTTCATTGCGGCCGTCGCTCTGGGCTTTCAAGCCAGAGGGTTGTTTTTAACTTGTTTACATCCCTGGATGTGGTGGTTTCTCGGGGCAACGCTGCCAAGCATCACTGACGCCAAACCCGTTTCACGCAAGCGAAATCGACTTAATACAGGCCGTGATTATTAGAACAGGAGAACAGCCACAGGAGCTGAATTGGAGGAGCGTATTTTTAAATATTGGCCTTGAAGCCTCATCTATGCGCACTCGAGAACTGGATTATTTCTATGTAGCCACGTGATCTAAGATGATCTTACTTCTCGACCCTAATACCGAGAAACTGAAGGATATTTAAGGCGCTCAGTAGATACTCCTTAACAGTATCCTGCGGCAGATTCATGATATAATTATCAAAGCCTCGCGGTTGCTCTATGGACTGTATACGCTGTAGCTCCATATAGCACAGCGTATGCAAGGTTGGCCAAAGCGACAGCTAAACCACGAACAGAATGCCAAGCCCTAGAGCCTCCCGGCCAACCTCACCTCGCCTCTCTCTCCCTGTCGTCCTCAACATCCCCCTCCACCTATCCTCCTTTCAACCCAACTATTCCCGTTTTCTAATGTGTCTTTATGACGTTGTAGAAATCTTACGTTTCAACCCCGTTCCTAGCATATTTTTCCTCCTATTCGTTTGCTCCTTGACGAGCTTTCCACCAATCCCACAATTTTTGCAGTCACACATCCAAATGACCGCATTCCCAACTTCATGAGTTTCCCTTCCCCCGCTCAATCTTTGATTGCTTCTGGCACCGACAAGCCATCAGCTTCCAGGACGGCGAGATCCCACCAGTCTGTCTGGGGTACCAGTGCGTCCCAATCTAACGTCCGCCGTGGCCTGACGCCGCTATCCACCAATATATCCAACTCAAACTCCAGTGTATCACCTCCCCGGCGTCCTGCCCAGCCTCATAGTCCAGCTCCTAGCGTTTCTGCGACATCTCCCCTTACCTCCAGCTTTTCCGCAGTCCTGACATCCTCTAATCGCATTCCCACCAACCGCCACAACTCTTCTCCGGCGCCTTCTCACGCCTCCTTCACTTCCCACCAACAAGCTGGCTCACACCAACAGCAGCAACAGCAACAAAGCCAGCCAATTTCATCACCCAAAATCAGATCTCTTACCCCTTCATCAACATCGCACCTGGCTACCTCGACGACCTCAGGAGGAGGTAGTGGGGGTGGAGGAGGTGGTGGAGGTGGTGGTGGTGTGGGCGCGGGTATATCCAGGAGTGCTGCGTTCTCTCCCCTATTGACAGGGAACACAATCAACTCACCAACGGGATTCCCCTCTGATAAGGCCGGAGCTACCGCGACATCAGGTGCAAATTCTGGCCAGTCATCTCTGTCCAAAATCTCCGTAGCTCAGGTGTTCCTGCTATTGGACTCCATCAACGAGAAGGAAGGGAAAGAAAAGTGGGAAACTAAAGCTGCACAGATTCACAAGGTATTTTTATTTTAACAGATAATGGGCTGCCCCCAGCTACATGACATGGCTAACTGTTCGATTCAAGCTCGTTGATTCAAACGGCATGGAAGTTTTTGCGAAGTATTTTCGTCGCCTACTTTCCGGCAATGCCCCCCAGATCTTTCCGGGAATTAACAAGGTGGTGGAAAATGCAGGGAACTATCCTTTGCTAGTACAGGAGGTTCACAAGGTGTCACAGGATCCTGACCAAAGCCAGAAAATTGCAGAGACAATTGATGCATCTGATGGTGATATCTTTCGTGATTTTGACCTCTCAACATTCCTCGAGCATTTTAAATTGGATCCCATTACCAAAGTCGCGTTGACACTCGCCTTCAAGAATGTCAGCAAAGCAGATTTGCGCACAAAAGGTAAGTTTAGGTTAACCCTAACTCACTTCAACAGGATTCACTTCGCGAAACTGACTGATTGTAATCCCACCAGCCGATGCAATTCTTACCAATTCCACTACCCAGTTCCTACATAGCCTCTCTACCATTTCTGATACGAACAAAGAATTTACCACGTCATTTATCAGTCTCACCCTAGAGCGCTTCATCCTGCACTCTCCTCGTAATTTCGACGAGGAAATTAAGCAAAAACTTGTGTATGCGTGCCGAGCGCGATACCAATCCGCGGACATGGACATACCACCTGAAATCGAATCAGCTTTGCAAATGTTTGGGTTATCTGATCCACAATTGACCTTGGTTCGCCAGATACAAGCTCGAGGGCCTAAGTCGATGGGCAGTCAGGACAGCATAGTTGAAACCATAAATTCAGCAGGTCCCAGTGGTTGGAGTGAAGAACAGATTGCTTCTGCGCTATTGTATATTATAATATCCCCTAATTGGCTTCAGTTCTCTCCCGAATTACTTCTCACCACCGTCCAAAATCACCAACGAGGTGAAACTTTTAGCTGGCCAAAGCTCATGCGTGGTTTCGACAAGGTTGGCATGGTCATCGATCCGAATCAGTTTGGTCGACTATTTAATGTACTCCATGTCGCTTCTCATGATAACCCAAGTCTTGATATTCAAGCGCTCTGGAGCGGAGAATGGGAAAATCGAGACACCCAGTTGTCCTTTTTAACCGCAGCTCTCTCCTCCAACATTGACATTTCCCGCATCCCCAAGTTCCGTTCGACATACCCTTTGGACATTTTTAGCGATGCTTCTGAAACTATCCGTCAGCAAGCTGAGCAGGCCCAACATAGTTTACTTCGCTCCCGTGATGCAGTTAGGGCCATCTTTGATCTTATTCTCAAGACACCAGGAACATGGAGCCTTCCGGATAGTCAAAGATTCGTCAAAACAGTTCTTCAACATGATCTGCCCATATTCCTTTGCTCTGCGTTCGCCATTCCTCAGCCGTGGACTACTGTTCAGGTCAACTTCGTTATGCGATCTTTCTCCATTTTCATCTCCAAGCGCCAGGATGGCTATCAATTCGCACTTCATGGCGTTTGGAAACTTAACCGAGAGTGGGTTGTAGAACAACTCTTCCACGCATTTACTCAGGATCCTTCGTGCACTGAACTGATCTACGACCATGCCGTAGAGCATGGTTGGTTAGACTATATTTTGGAATTTACCAACGGCCTAGCCATGGACCTTGCATCTTTAGCGCACAGGAAGGACGACTATGATCTCGAACAGTGGGTTAAGAAGGCGGCCCAGAAGTCTCCTATTGACATGGGAAATTTGTTATTGAAATTCCTGCGAATAAAAGCTGAGGACGAACTTCGCGTCCAACGGAAAGAACAGCCAACTCCACAGATGGTCAGTCTGTCAGTTAAAACCGTCTTTGCTCTCCTCCAAATTCTCGAAGACTACATCGTCGATCATGAAACTTTGACTCCCATCCAACGAATTTGTCTTCAAGCTTACCCACGATTGATAAATTACGGTGAAGGATTCGATGATATCATTGAGGTCAACGGCGCTCATGGTAACGCAATTCCGGTTGAAATTGATAAACAGATGCAAGATTTATTCGGCAAAATGTATCACGAAGAACTTTCCCTGCGTGAAATACTCGAGCTAATGCGACGATACAAAACATCGCGCGACCCCGCTGAGCAAGATTTATTTACATGTATGGTCCATGGCCTGGTCGATGAATACAACTGCTACCATACATATCCACTCGAGGCATTAACAAAAACTGCTGTCATGTTCGGTGGCATTATTAATTTCAAGCTAATATCTGGTATCCCGCTCAAAGTTGGCCTCGGAATGATCCTAGACGCAGTGCGGGAGCATGAGCCCCATCAACCGATGTATAAGTTTGGTGTCGAAGCCATAGAGCAATTAATTAGTCGCCTCCCAGAATGGGCTGGGTTTTGCAACCTTCTTCTACAAATCCCCTCTCTTCAAGGAACGCCGATATACCGCAAAGCAGAAGAAGTGCTTCGAGACCAAGGCCACCACCCAATTAACGAAACCGATGGGGCTGGATTAAATGGACTGTCCGATGGGATGGCTATGACAAACGGCAATATCGATGAACTCTTGGCTCCTGACACCACTCATCGCAAATTCTCTTCCCTCCACGTGGATCCGCCGCTTCGCCCTGAAATATATCGTGACCCGGATGAAGAAGCTCATGACAAAATCCTTTTCATTTTAAATAATGTCTCCGAGCAAAATATCGAGGGTAAGTTAAGAGATCTAAAAGATGTTTTGCAAGAAGAACATCACCAATGGTTCGCCTCATACCTTGTTGAGGAACGAGCGAAATTGCAACCGAACTTCCAGCAACTTTACCTCGACCTTTTAGAGCTTATTGGCGACAAAACCCTCTGGATGGAAGTTCTTAGAGAAACATATGTTAGCGCAATCCGATTGCTAAATGCAGAATCCACCTTGAACTCAGCGACTGAACGCACGTACTTGAAAAATTTAGGCGGATGGCTTGGCTCTTTGACTATTGCCAAGGATAAACCAATAAAACATCGAAACATCTACTTCAAGGACCTCCTAATTGAAGCGTTTGATAGCCAACGCCTCATGGTTGTCATACCTTTCACCTGCAAGGTGTTGGTGCAAGCCATGAAATCCACAATTTTCAAGCCACCAAACCCATGGTTAATGGATATCATTGCCTTGTTGATCGAGATATACCATTTTGCGGAACTGAAAATGATTCTCAAATTTGAAATCGAAGTTCTCTGTGGGGATTTAAGTCTTGATTACAAGACAATCGAGCCATCGACGTGTATTAGGGAACGCCCTACGCAACTAGAGGATGGCATTTCTTCGGCAAACATTCCTGAGGGTCTGGAAACCTTTGAAGATATGTCCCTAAGTAACATTAGCCATGCTATCCGCAACGAACGAATACCCCAAACCTCTATAATGCCTAGTCTCCCTAACCTGGATCAAATCTTGGTGTTCCCTCCTTCTGCTAGTACGATGGCAGATCCTGGCATCCTCCGGCAAATTGTTCATAGCGCTGTAGAGCGGGCGATTGCTGAAATAATCACCCCCGTCGTCGAACGTTCTATCACCATTGCGTCTATATCAACGGCACAGCTTATTCTGAAGGATTTTGCAATGGAACCTGACGAGGAGAAAGTTCGCCAGGCTGCAGGAACGATGGTTCGAGCGCTCGCAGGCAGTTTAGCTCTGGTAACATGCAAGGAGCCCCTAAAAATGAGCATGACGAATTATATTAGAGTGATTCAACAAGAATTCTCAGACCAGCCGATGCCTGAAGGGCTTATCCTCATGTGTGTCAATGATAACCTAGACGCTGCGTGTGGTATCGTTGAAAAGGCAGCGGAGGAAAAGTCTCTGCCCGAAATCGAAAAAGTCATTGAATCGCAACTAGAGGCTCGACGCCGCCACCGTGCAGCACGTCCTAACGAACCCTTCATCGATCCTTCCATCAGTCGTTGGGGATTTTTTATCCCGGAACCATTTAAGCAAATCCCAGGAGGTCTCAACAAAGAACAGCTGGCTATATATGAGAACTTTGCTCGACAATCACGAGGAACTGGACCTACTCACATCCAGAATGCATCAACTGACTCGGGGAAACAAATTCCGGACGTTCTCCAGGAGTCTTTCCCAGCAATTCCTAACCTGTCTACACCAGCCGAACAACCTGCTGTCCCTCACCACGTAGCACAGACGCAACAAGAATCCAGCCTTCAGCAACCTGCGATTACAGCGCCTCAAAGCCAAATAAACGGTTTCCTTGAAACAGCCAACCCACGTGAGAAAGTAGAAACACTCATTTCTCAGTTACAACTAGCGGCTCGGAATGCTTCGGAGGAGCACCTCAAAGATCTTGGGCGTGATAGCAGCATCCTTCAGGACTATAATCAAGTCTTCCGTACTATTCTTAGCGCTCCTAACGGTGAAGATTTAGCAAGATTAGCTGCTTTAAAAATATGCACGACCTTGTATTCGCGGACTGAGAGCCGTTTGGAGGTTGAGCTGCTGGTTCACATCCTGGCCAAGATCTGCGAGCTGTCTTCACTTGTTGCCAGGTATACCTGGGCTGTTCTTGCCGATGTGGACGATGAGCATATGTTCAATGTTCCTGTCACTGTCGCGCTTATTGATGCAGGGTTATTGGATCTTCAACGCGTCGACATGATTCTCACGAAACTCATCCAAGAAAAGAACGTTGCTGCCCTGGAATTACTGTCCAATCTTATTGATCGAGTCCTTCTAAACGACGAACCCTCCGCTTTGCGATCGGATTTCTCAGGCAGCCTGGGCGCAATGAATAAGTTGGTTGTCGAGAACCCAGATCTCCCCGTTGCCAAAGACATCATCCGGAAGCTCCGGGAATCAGGTATTCCAGAAACCGTCAATGCGCTCCTTACGGATCAAGCCCGTTCAAAGCGCGATCAAATGGAATACATTTTTAGCGAATGGATCGGCGTGTACAAATTCGCGCGCTCCAATGATAGGACATACAGTACATTTCTCAAGGATATGCACCAGAGACAAGTCATGAACAATCAAGAAGATTCAGCCTTGTTTTTCAGACTCAGCATCGATATTTCAGTCGCCATGTTCGAGCATGAGTGCCAGAATCCAAATGGGAACCTCGATGAAGCGTTCTTGTATATTGATGCGCTCGCAAAGTTGGTAATCTTGCTTGTGAAATTCCAGGGCGAGAGCAGCGGTGCTGTTAAAGCCAGCAAACCTGTCTACTTGAATTCTATTCTGTCGCTTCTAGTTCTTGTCCTGAACCATCACCAAGTGATGCGAGGGGAGAACTTTAACCAGCGGGTATTTTTCAGGCTTTTCTCCAGCATTCTTTGTGAATATTCCACATGTGCTCTTCAAAATACAGATCAGCATAAAGAAATGATGGCTGTCTTTGCGGACAAATTTTTGTCCCTGCAGCCTAAGCATGCACCTGGATTTGTTTACGGATGGCTCGCCCTGATTTCACATCGGATTTTCATGTCGGGATTGCTTAATATGCCGGATCAGTCGGTAAGTGTATAAAATGGTCCAGACCTAATAAATTGATCGCTGACAATATTAAAATCAGGGTTGGGAGTCATATTGCGAAATAATTGAAGTTTTACTCCCGTATATTGGCGAACAACAGAAGCCGGCCAATGTTTCATTTGTCGCTAAGGACATATACAAAGGCGTTCTTCGCATTTTACTTATTCTTCATCACGATTTCCCCGAGTTCGTAGCAGAGAACCACTACCGATTTTGCAATGTTATCCCGTCTCACTGCGCACAACTGCGAAATCTTGTTCTGAGCGCCTACCCATCATCATTTCAGAAACTCCCCGATCCATTTAGAGAAGGCCTGAAAGTTGATAGGTTAGATGAAATTCGAAAGGCGCCGAAGGTCGCGGGTGATATATCCGCTCCTCTTCAACGAGCAAATTTGATCAATATAGTCGACAATGCCTTCCGAACCGCTGTTCCTGATAGTACGATTCAGCATATTTGTGATGTTCTATCAAACCCGGTTGCCAAAGCAACTGGACAGTTCTTCACTCCTATCAATGTCGATGTTGTTCTCATGAATTCTCTCGTCTTGTACGTTGGACAAAATGCCGTTGTTTCGACTGGTCAGAAAGGCAATATACCAGCAGCTTTCAGCAATTCTCCCCATACAGCTCTGTTGGAGAAGCTCTCAAAGGTTCTACAACCGGAAGCTCTGTACTACTTCCTAAGTGCCATCGCCAACCAACTGCGATACCCCAACAGCCATACGCATTACTTCAGCTACGTCATCCTCCACCTTTTCGGATATGAACAGCCTGCTCAACAAGGATCGGATATTCGTGAACAGATTGTTCGCGTACTCCTTGAGCGACTGATAGTTCATCGACCGCATCCATGGGGTTTGATCATTACTCTCCAGGAGCTACTACAAAATGACAGTTATACCTTTTTCCGCTTGCCATTCATTCAGGCGGTACCCGAGGTATGAGTTCGTTACATATGCCATTCTGAATATTCCGCCACTAATTCCAACTGTTATCATAGATCAATAATCTCTTTGACGCCCTGCTTCAGCACATCCAGCAGCAAAGCCCAAGGGCCCTAGCTTAGGAGAAGACTAATTACTCTACACAATCCAAACACTCTCCAAAATTTGCTCCGGGCAACGCACTCTCCCTCATTGTGGGGAGAAATTGACTTTAGAGGTATATGCCATGACTATAATATCACTTTTTACCCCAAAGGCTCTAGGTAGTTCAAAAGCTAGTATCCTCTTTATTTCTTTATTCTATGGTGTCGGCTGCAGGGTTTCTGGGGCTATTTTTCTTCTTTCATCCACAAGGTTTGCTTCATGTCACCCGTTTTTCTGCACTATTTGCTTCAGGTTTGTTTTGGGAGGGTATGCATTTTCTAAACATGCTCACCATTATTGACTGAGATGATTGCCGTCACATTTTATTGGTTTCCTCTTTTCTTCTATGAATACGCAAGATCTTAACTTATGATTTAACTCACCATTATTTAAATTCACTTTGACGTGGAGGAAGACATTGAGATATGGCAAGCAGGGAGGATATTCACGGGAATGATGGCACGAGATATGAAGTAGAGGGGGTAGAAAGCTCTAACCTAGGTCGTTGTATTATAAATTTCATCAATGAAACGGACATATCTAACATCATGTATGAGCATCGAAATTGGCCATCTAAATTAAGATTGACTTTAAAAATAGTTCGCTTCCCAAGCTTATCTTTAGCCGATATCCGTCACATGCCACGCATAATTGGGTACTTGGCACATGACGACACGGCAACGAACAGTGCGAACTTGACAGCTTCTACAGAGTAAGGGCCCATCAATTGAATCAAGATGGAGGACGACACAGAGCCGAGCCAGTCCTTATACTCTATGGTATTGGTATGTATGGAACATACTCATAAATGCCGCCATGTTCTGATTTTCCTCATAATTTCTTGTAGTTACAAGAAACAGTAGCTTACAGCTCCAGGCCCCGTTCACAGAAGCTCGGCGTACCATAATCTCCAAACCTGCACGGCGAGCCTATATCAATACCATCCTCTTCTGCCTCACCTCCGCCGCCCTTCTCTGCATTTCCATTGTCGCATATTGGATCTTCTACTACAACTATGTGCCGCAGATCTCTCTGGAGCGACAAGTTCATCTACAATTCGGGTATGCCCATCAATCAAGTAATTGGATCTGAACACCTCGGCCTAGAAATGTATTTATGAAACTGTGGTAGTGATGGACACCCTTATGGCACTGCGACGTTGGGCACAGAATTGATCGCTGCACAACAATATGATGTCAGCGTCGTTCTGTACCTCCCGCGCAGCCCGCCCAACCTCGCCGCTGGCAATTTCATGGTTGATCTTGCGTTATTCTCTTCTGCGAAAACAAATACGAATACAAACGAGGCAAGTTCTATTGAAAGTTCGCGGAGGCCTGCAATTATGACTTATACATCCCCGATGGTGGATACAGCCAAGAGGGTGTCAAAAATGCCACTCTACCTGCTCGGATGGCAGAGGGAGGCAGAGGGCTTGAAGGTTAACATGATGGATCGGGTGGAGTTTGGAAGAAAAAAAGGGGCTATGCCAAAGACATTGAGGCTGGAGATTGAGAGTGAGGAGAAAATACAGGTGTATAGTGCTGTCGTCAAATTCGACGCGAAGTTTAACGGGCTAAGGTAGGTAACCACCTGGGAATATTTTTTAAAAGATACCTTAGTTCTGGTTCCTGATATTTGCCTTGGGCATACTATCTCAACCCTACAAAGTCCATGCAGGAGAATGTCTTAACTAACAGTTGTTCGATTACAGATGGATTATGTATAATTGGAAAATTTTCTCCATTCTGACATTCACGTTGACCTTCTGGGCCGTTTCAATGCTCTTCACATCTCTAGTGTGGGTAGCTCTGGCGAGTCTGGCAGAGCCAACAGTAAGAAGGAATCCAAAATTAAAAGATGAGACTGAAGAGGAAGAAAATAGCAGTGGCATTTCTGTCAAAGAAGAGGAGGGAAGTGATGGTGAAGGTGCTTCTTCCAAGCTTACTATGCCACACGAAAGACGCATGAGCGATGAACAAGAGAAGATTAAACGGGAAGAAAATACCGAAGAATATACGGTGATTCAGACATTGGCTGGAAGCGACCAGCCCGAAGCTGAAGCAGGTACGCACCCAGTTGGTACCAGCACGTCATCGCAAACAACTGCAACGGATAACTCGGAGCTGGTCGCCCAGAGGCGCAGAGGCAATGTACGTTTTGAGGACGAGGATTGACTCCCGTTTGCTTGCCAATTCCATACCCCTATAATTCTTAATTGCTACAATAGCAACAATTCAGAATCCTAATGCATTCTCCGATAATTCATGAAAATCAACATGTTTCAGCAGGACCTGAAATTGGAGTAAACATAAATGTTCCACTACTCTCTGCACACTAGTAGTCAACGTGTGGAAGTGGAGGTTATGGAAGTACTATCTAGTACATTGCGTTGCAGTAGCCTTTTCAATACCACCACACTCGTGCTGCTGGAATGTACATACAATATAGGCGTAATAGCGCTCCAACGGCCAGCGTAAGTTTAGTGGAAGATTGGAGAGTCAAGGGGAGCCTAATCAAGTTAGCAATTTATCCGGCTCAGTATTCAATTGCCTTCCCCCCACGCGCTCCAACAGTCGCAAAAACGAGGATATCAAGACACCGGCCGCCTCGATCTGATCTCAATTTTAGCAATGCATATACTGGTAGGTCTATGGAAACATTGAACATTTCTATATTTCTAGTCTCCTCCAAATTGAAGCCCGGTCTATCCCTTCCTGGCCTATATTTGCCCCTCACTCACACTTCCATTAGGTTGTTAACGACGACGGGCCTCCCTCGAATCAGTCTTCGCCCTATGTACATCCATTAGTTCACACGCTCGAATCCGCTGGCCATGTAGTCTCTGTCGTCCTCCCGCACAGACAGCGGTCATGGATCGGTAAAGCCCACCTCGTTGGAGCGACCGTGAAGCCTACATACTTCCGCCCGGGCACCCTCCACAAAGACGACGGCACCATCCACCACCTTCCTTTGGGAGCAGAGGGAGAAAACGATAATATGGAGCCGATAGTAAACGAGTGGATCCTCATTGATTCCACACCCGCCAGCTGCGTCCAGATCGGACTATTCCACTACTTCAAGGACCGCGGGCCCATTGACCTTGTTATCTCTGGGCCTAACTACGGTAGAAACTCAACTGCCGTCTTTGCGCTCTCGAGCGGCACACTTGGTGGTGCGTTGGAGGCTGCAGTATGTGGATACAGGTCAATTGCTCTCTCGTACGCCTTCAGCTCGCGGGACCATGATCCTGTCGTCATTGCGGAAGCGTCGAGACATTCTGTACACCTAATTGGACATCTGTATAAGAACTGGGAGGAAGATGTTGATTTTTACAGCATAAATGTACCCCTCGAAGCCGGGGTCAGCGAAGCTAAAATCCTCTACACCAATATCCTAGATAATCGTTGGACCTCTGGGAGCTGTTTCGAAGCCATAGATGCTGCGGAAAGTGGGGAGGGCCCAGATTTGCAGGAGCAGAAGTTACGACAGGCTGGGGAAGTAGATGCCGGGTTGGGGAAAGGGACGAAACCGGGAACAGGCACAACCACACCAGGACATCGGCATATGCATTTCAAGTGGGCGCCAAAGTTTTCGGATGTTTACAAGAGCGTAGATCTTGGTCCTCCAGGGAATGATGGATGGACAGTTAAGGAGGGGATGACAAGGTAAGATTACTGCCCCCCGTCATCCCTCTTTTTTTGTCGAGGGTGTTCCAATCTACACTATTCTAACTATGCGCTACTTTGCTATTACAGCGTTACCCGCTTGAAAGCGAATTTTATGCACTCATCAAGACCTTTGGGAGAAATTCAGATGTGAGTGTTAGCTCCAATGCGATGGCGTCTCGGGTGGGTTCATGATAAACGATTCTTTATTATATTAAGTCTCCACACAGAGCTTGTAGTCATGTTATTGGTTATTTTATATCTCTCGTTTTCTCTTTGCCTGTTACTCCAAAACCCCTACAGCGATTGCTTATTTGCCCGTAGAAGTGCATTCTAACTATCCCTGCCTTTCGATCTTCGGACAGACCCTTCAAAACACCCATATTCTATGCTCTAGTGGAATGCCAGGACTCATATGTGCAACCCCTTGTAATCCAAGCCCTACGGACACGCCTGCACGGAATCCCTTACGAATTGATATTTTCCATTCGTGAACTTCCCAACCCCTCGTCTCCCCTACTACAATACCGAGTGTACGAACAATGCGATTTTGAGCACGTCTTATCCCATCCTACAACTTCATTGGTAAACGCCTATGTCATCCGCAAAGCGCTGATTAGGAAACACTACTTATCAAGCTCGGTGTCGAACTGGGTGGCTAAACATCCCGACAGCATTTTAAATGCGCACGTCAAGCCAGCTGTCCATTTTGAGCTGGATTATGCGGAGTTTCTTGACGAGGCGCTGGTCGAGGCATATGAGTTAAAGGAGAGCTTCCAGGCTAATGAGGGAAAGGGAGAGGCTGAAAAGGAGTGGTGGATTCTAAAACCCGGGATGAGCGATAGAGGGCGGGGGATTCGCTTATTTAATAGCGAATCAGGGCTGCGGGAGATCTTCGAGGGGTGGGAAGACGACCAACCCGATTCCGAGGATGGCGAGGATAGTGAAAACGGGAAGGTCGTCGCCAACGGCAATGGAAAATTAAACTATGATGATAACCGTGACGATGACTATGGAATCATCACCTCGCAGCTCCGCCATTTCATAGCGCAGCCATATATCCACCCGCCTCTCCTGCTTCCATCGGAGTCGAATAGGAAATTCCACATCCGCACATATGTGCTAGCTGTTGGCTCGCTGCAGGTTTATGTCTACAGGGAAATGCTCGCACTATTCGCTGAGGAGCCGTATCTGTCTCCCTGGGACAGCAGTGGTGCCGGCGTCGACGACCTTACCCGTCACCTGACAAATACATGTCTGCAAACCGGTCGCAGCGGTACTGCCAAACAGAACTCCGTTCGGCGCTTTTGGGCACTCGAGGATACCGCCGTCCCCTCTCTTTCCTCCTCCTCTCCGCCAACTTCAGGAGAACCCAACTCTAGCATCAACTGGAAAGAAAGCGTATACCAGAAGATCTGCGCTGTTACAGGTGAAGTCTTCGAAGCAGCGGCACGGGGTATGCTGGTGCATTTCCAGACGTTGCCGAATGCGTTTGAGGTGTTCGGCGTTGATTTCCTGGTCGACAGTCGTGGCAAGGTATGGCTGTTGGAGCTAAATGCGTTCCCGGACTTCCGGCAGACGGGTGACGAGCTAAAGGGGGATGTCGTCGGTAAGCTGTTTGAGGCGGTGGTGGAGGTTGCTGTAAAGCCATTTTTTGGTATTGAGAAAGATATTGAGCGGGCTAAAGCACGGGCTGCACAGTTGGGGTTGCAGCTGGTTAGAGATTTGGATATGGGGATGAAGAGGTGAGGGGGGGTATTTCTGCCACCCACGCTACTGAATGTTGATGAGCCCATCAACAGTAAGTATAGGGCCAAATACTTATCTCCGCCAATAAAATAAGAGGACAGTTGGGCATCATCTGGTTTCTTGTGGCCAACTGATCAACGGGGGACTTCAGAGCCACCCACACCTCTGTTACACTGCTGGGTGCGTTTGCGGGAGGAATCCCAAAATCCTGTGCCATTATCACAGAGATCAAAGTGCGGTATTTAGGCTGCATCGTCTTGTGCTTGGAAAATTGGTTGGAGTTATGACTATATATTCTTTATTTAATTTTTTTTCCTCGTCGAGATTTCAACATGCACTATCCGCGGGTTTTTTAGAAGAGGGGGATTTACAGAAAAGGTAGATATAAAGCATCCACAATTTATACTCATTCTTCAGCTCGCTTTTCCCTTGTCTATCCTCAAGACTCTAGGGCTATACCTGTATAGCGGGCCGGAGATTTATTGTTAGCCTCAAGCTTGGCGATTTATTTATGTATTCATCCCCCCAGTACTACCCAGCTCCAATTGTCGTTTTGCTCGATTTCGAGAACGCAACGCACGGCGATACCGACGACGATATCAAAGACCCCGTTCGAATATTGACTGCAGCACAATAGCAATGAATCCATTTTCATGCTTTGGCGCGGCCCGTTTAAAACCTCAAGAGTCACTGCGCCGAAGCAGATTGGTTAACTTCGGTGATTTTTTGACATGGTCATACCTGCAACCATGTAGAAGCATGGTGTAACTGTTTGCTAACGAACATCAATAGAACCTCGGGTCCTTGCGAGAGCAGGTCTCGCTGCCCTCATACAAGAACGCTGCTGTCTCACGTCCTCTTAATGGTGACAAAGGGAGATACTGGGTATGTTCGCACAGGGTAGACCAGCAGTATCCTCGTCGTCGAGGTTGTCTGATTGCCTGACTACCAGCCCAGGGGACTGACACGGCCCTTAGAGCTCCAGCAAATACATACATTAGCTATGTAGCATGGGGGATCGTCAGCTACCCGCTCAAGGTTTGAGGTGACATTTCCCAGCATGCATGCTGAAACTACTCCGTAGCTGCATGTACTATTGATTTTCTAGTTTCTGCAATGGCTAATGGAGATTTCAACCGCTTTTTTTTATTTGTTTCCTTGGCGATCCGGCAGGTTGTTCCAGGCGTCATTTAGTTATGCGCGGCCCATTACCTCATAATCGACATGGCTGACTATTTATATACACTGGGGCGTTCAATTGCTAGGGCCACGGGTTGGTCCCTGGCGGAATCATGATAAGTTCGTTAACTAACTTTAACTACAGCTGAATTGCTTACACAGGACAATATCAAAGGTCAAAGGAATAATAACAACAACAATAACATGACGATGATCAGGTATTCAGACATCGTCCGTAAAGAGTCTCCTTGCCATGTTTCATTGGGCGCTGACGTACTGTACATATATCGGTGCATTATAAACCCCTCTCTCTGTGTACGCGTAGAGGCAGGTCACTTACAATCTAATCGAGAGCCCTCTCACCCTTTTTTCCTCAGCCTGAATCCATCTTAAACCCGTCTATCTGCTTGCTTCTCCCGCTCCAGTAATTGGGCATGCCTCTCCGCGTCCGGACGTTGGTGGAGGAGACGCTGCTGAATCCTTTCGTCGTACCGTGTGCTTATTTGCATCATCTTATCGAGTTCTGGATCCCTAACTAGCGCAGCGAGTTAAGAGCCTGCTAACCCCAGGAGCCCGACCTGGTTATTATTTTCGGCCAGTCTACTTCCTACGCCCAGCAGTGCTGTCTTAGCCCAACCAGGGATGTTAATTAACTCTACCCGTGATTTATTGTTTTCTCCTTCTGCGACACAAACAATCTCCCTACCTGTGTCCGTCTCCTCCTCACTTGGGTTCTTTTCGCCTTCCCTCGAGTATCTCTTCTTTTTGGTCCTGGGATTTCGGGTGTTTTGTCTGCTATTAATTTCTCCTCTCCTGCCCAGCAATCAATTGGTCCTGAGAAAATGGAAATGTGGTCGTAACAACAGCTCCTCATCTTCTGCTGGACGACCAGCTTGGAGCTTCTCAGTGGTAAAATACGCCCCTCTGTGCTTCAGAGTTACCTATCTTGGTCAATGAAGGAGGACTTGCAGCAGTTGACCAGAAACGCCATAGAGCATTGTTTGACGGCCGCTTAATCACGCCGTGCACGACTACTAGTTATCAGCGTCCACATCAATTGGCCTGAATGACACGTATATCCCCCGTCTAACCCGAATATCCCGTTTACTTTTATGTGGCGGTCTGTCTTGTTCTCTTTTCTTCCCTCCTGGTCTAACCTGACGCTCGCTGCCAGTTGTCCATTCATTGAACTTTTTTAAAAAAAAAAAAGAAAGATCCTTACCTGCCCAAAGTCAGTTGAAAGACAGGAGCCTTGTGTGTGCCTGCATTATTATAACATCATTTTTGTTCGACGTTTGTAGATGCGCTCGCTTTTTTCTGTCGTTCCCAGAGGCTCTTTTCTCCTATGACGCTCAGAATTGCTGGTTACATTTGTTCTGGGCCGTTGGATTTCTGTTCGTTCTCTCTTTGCCCCATTAGCAGCGTTCTTGTGTGGAAGCAGACGGGGGCCAGCTATAATTATCTTGAATCCCCTTTCCATTTGCATCCTCTCAGAAGGGCCTCCTTTTGTTTTCCTGCATTCCACCCTATCTATCTTCTTCTTTTTATTTTATATTCCGCTGAACTGCTCTCTCGTTCGTTTTGGAACATTTTAGCTTGGCATCAGGTCTTTCCCTCGACATTTACCGGCTCATATTTTCACTCCCTGCAGTCGTGAGAGAAGGGAGCTAGCTCCCTTGGAGTCTCCATTTTCATGCTTTATAGTTAGGCGGACGAGCTTGCGAACTTGCAGTGAGGTTGTTGATTTGTCCTCCTCGAGCACCACTTTTATTGACCTGTCTCGCATTCTCCAAGTTGGCACAGGGGTTTGTTTCCCTTCGTTTTGTGCCCTTTTTCTTTTTCGGCTCGTTCAGTTTTTGTATCTTCCCATTTATCTCTTTTCCCAGTTTTCTTTTCCCCGCTCTCTTTTGCTGTAGGCTTATTTCTTAATTCCTTCCTTTATTTTTCTTTTCTTTCCTCTTTCTGCCTCGTTGGAAGAATCGACTGTCTGTTCGTTTCTATCGGCTTTCTGCAATTGCTTCGTTGCTTGTTTTAATAAGAGACGAAGGAACAACGGAACAGCTCACGCACAAGAAGAAATATAACCCCCTTTCTGTACTTTTTTTGCCTATTGCGCTTTTTCTTGCACCTCTCCTCCATTTTTCCCCAGGCAGTTAGTTGTTTTGCGAGTCTGCAGAAGGAACTGCGAGCTGTCTGTTGTTCCCCCGGCAGCCGATGAACTGGTCTTCCCTTCTTTGCAACCTGGCGTGTTATTGCTTCCGTGTGTCTGTCCTGCACCTTCTCTCATTCCCTCCAGCCGGCGGAGTTTGATATAGATCTCTGTCCTTTCCATTTCCCCACCGTTTGCGGATAAACAAAAGTCTTCCCCCTTTGCTCCTCCAGCACGGTGTGGTTTCTGACTCCCATCTTCGAGGCATTTCTACTGCTGCTCTTCATTGCTTAGTGGAGGTTTCGTCCATCATACGCTTGTGTCTTGCCTATGACCTCTTGTGACGGCGTAATTCGCTTGCCCAGGTGCCCAGGTGGTTAACGCCATTGCCTACTCGTGGTTCAGCATTCCCCAACGCAGCGGCTTTCCCTTGAGATTTACGCCCCCAATCACAACTGCTCATCTACCCCGATGGAGCTGAAAATGGATCGCGGACTTGAATTGCAGGTCGTGAAGTTTCTGCACTCTTTCTTCCCCATAATCGCTGCGACATATTACTTTGTTGCTTGCTTTGTGAAAAGCATAGCGTCCCCTCTAAAGAGGAAGCCGTCTGCTCAACAGCCAAAAGGTTTAAGACTTACGCTTGGCTGTATTATGCTCCTTGTATTGGCAACTTATGTAAGTGTTGAAGTGGAATACTCAGTTGTGCCGTTGATTTAGAAATGGCTTTGTTTTCAGGTTAAAAACGAAAGTGTATATGGCGAGGAAAACTACTAATATGGATTTTGCCTACGTATAGGTTGGCGATTCAACGGCATTGATATCCGCTGCAATTTCCAAGGCAGTTGCCTCCCCGCCGCAGGACTCCATCGTGAGTGTACTTTGTACTTTGACGATATCTCGGATAGATGAAAATGTTGCAACTAACTCTATTAACTGGCAGATCTTTGCATTGGCTTCCTCGCTTCTTTGGTTCAGTACTATCTTGGCGTATATCGATGCTCAATCTCCTCCGGGCTATCCTCTTTACGGGTGCTGGATCCTCTATTTTCTATGCGAACTTGCGCTGCTTTCGCTCTCCCTTCGACTTGACCACGCTCGAACGAAGTTATCCGTCATCACAATGATATCCCAGGCAATTCGACTGTGTGTTCTCTTCCTCCTCCCCTGTACTATTTTCGGTTCTCGCCTGTGTATGACCAAGAAAGTTGGCGATGATGAAGAGAACACTCCGCTACTACGGGACTCTGTAAATAGGTTTCGGGGGGATGGCGCCGAAAACGCTTATGGTTCATGCAACTCTCGGAGTAATTCAATAGCTGAACCCCACGTTTCTAAATTGGATCCTGAATTGAATAAAGAAGGCGAGGAGGAAATGAAACCGAGAGAGTTGAATTTGTGGGATTTTATGAAAAATTTACGGGTATGCTGACACAATTCTGTTTTGGAGAATCCGAACTAATCGCCAACATTCGCGAAACTGCGTCTTATCTGACTAACCATGATATAGGCTATTGTTCCATTCTACTGGCCTTCGGGAAAGCCAAAGCTTCAACTCCTATATTTGTGTATTGGCATCTGTCTGGTATTCCAACGCATCATGAATATCGTCATCCCTCTTCAGATAGGGCTGATTACCAACATCCTCAGCAAGAATGACGGTATGCAAGGAGGCTTTTACTTACCCGGATTTCAGATTGCTAACGTTCTCGTAGGAACTTTCCCCTGGAGAGAAATTTCCTTTTTCATTGCCCTCCGGCTTTTTGATTCTAGCTGCGGTCTGTCTGCGATTACGAAGTTCCTTTGGGTACCGCTGGAGGACTACTCATACACGAACCTGAGTTCAGCGGCATACAACCAAATCATGGCCCTGTCGAGCGACTACCATGACAGTAAAAGCTGTGCGAATCTGTGGCAATCAGTCTTCCGAGGCCAAGGTGTCAATAACATGGTCCACATGCTTTGTTTTGTTATCGGGCCTATGGTGATTGACCTTGCATTAGCTGTCAGTGTTTTGTATTACATATTCGATGCATATATGGCTTTGGACATCGCGGCTATCGCTGTGTTGTTTATGTGGTCATCCGGCAAAATAATAAATACGCAGGCAAAGAGGCGTCGCCAATTCGTTGACAACAAGTCAAAGGAGGTTGCTCATATGTGTGAGACCACGGCAAACTGGTACACAGTCTCATATTTCAATCGTATATCCTACGAAGAATCGAGATACGCCTCATGCATTAAAGACCAGCTGGTTTCCCGGCGTGGGTATCTGCTTTGGGTCCATATGGAAGAGTCCGTTCAATCCCTGTTTTTGCTTCTAGGACTGATGATTGCCTGTTTTATGGCAGTCCACCAAGTTATTAAAGGGACCAAACCCATCGGACACTTCATTATGTTGCTTAGCTACTGGGCGCAGCTGACTGGTCCTCTTCAGCTCATCGCAGCCGGGTTTGGCAGCCTTGCCATGGATATGATCGACATGGAAGGGTTCTTAGAGTTATTGAGGCAGAAACCAACTATCACTAATCATGTGGACGCAAAACCCATGCGTCATCTTGCCAGTGGTGATATTGAATTCACTGATGTGACATTTTCGTATGATGGCAAACGAGAGGTTCTCAACAATGTGAACTTCAAAGTCAAGGCCGGACAGACCGTAGCACTAGTCGGGCAGACTGGAGGTGGTAAAACGACAATTTTACAAATGCTAAATCGCTTTTACGACCCGACTTCAGGTAGTGTGAGAATCGACGGACAAGATATATCTCAAGTCACACTCGAAAGCCTCCGGGCAAACATTGGCGTCGTCCCCCAGCACCCCGCTCTCTTCGACGACACCATTATGGCCAATATCCGATACGCGAGGCTTAGCGCTACTGACGAAGAAATAATTGAAGCCTGCAAAGCTGTGGCTCTTCATGATCGGATTTCAACCTTCACCGACGCTTATAACACCTTGGTGGGTGAACGTGGCCAAAAGCTCTCAGGCGGTGAGCTTCAGCGCGTTGCAATTGCTCGCGCGATCATCAAAAATCCAATAATTGTGCTTTTGGACGAAGCCACCAGCAGCATGGACAGCGAAACCGAAGCTCATGTTCAGGGAAGTTTAAATCGCCTTAGGAAAGGACGAACAACTTTTATAGTTGCGTAAGTTCTACTGTGTCCGATGGACTGCTAGTGTGTTTTACAACTTGACTAACCCTAATACCCCTAGACATCGCCTCTCTTCTGTCATTCACGCGGACAAAATTATGGTTGTTGAAGGTGGCAAAATCGTTGAGGAAGGAAACCACAGGGAACTATTGAACAGGAAGGGTCACTATTACCGACTCTGCGCTTTCCAAGGAGGATTCGATATTCCTGGACATCATCGGGCCAGATTTCCAAATGATACCATGGATAATGGAGAAAACCCACTATTTAGGAACGATTCTGATCCTGCTACTATCTCACCAGAAGGTACAGCAAGCAGCGGGCACAGTGCCGATCAGCATATAGGCATCATTCACGACGGAGCCCTTGGACATTTGAGGCAAACTAGCACCAACTGCGCAAGTGATGTGTCCGCAAGAAATCCCACCTCGAAAAAAAGTTGGAAGCCAGATGCTCCTGAGTTTGTTCCCCGAACTTATAAAGCCTCTGATGCTATAATTCCGACAGTAACATTTACTCAGCCAACAAACATCAACCATAACTTTTCTAACGAGGCAACTTGTTGGTTTTCAAGCAACATTGCAGAGGAAACTAGTGGTGACGCCGATCTTCTCAGCAGTTCTAAAGAGAATGTCCCGGCGCTAGCTAGAAAGAGACCCCATCCTGAGCTCTCCTTGATGGAGAAAGGAGACCAAAAAGCCAAGTCATTATCCCCAAGAATGAAAACGATGTCAGGACAGCCTCCTATGCATAATGGTGATGCTGAGTTGGTGCAGGGATGTGTTTGGCAGGGAACCACTGATGTTGTATCAGATTCCGCGGTTGTGCTGCCAAAATATGCTCAACGACGTCGGGAAATGACCAAAAGTGAACCAACAACCAAAAGTCAAAACGTCGACGAAAATACACCTTTAATTGATTTGGAGACTGCAGCGCCGTCCGTTCCGCGCAAAGGCCAGTCGACAACATCTAATCAGCGTCGTCGCCGGCGTTACCATAACTGGAGCAACAGCGAGAATCGCAAGCGGGGAACGACCAAGGCTAGCATTCGCGATACTGGATCATCGTCTTGATTGAAGGTAGATAGTACTAGTACCCCATCACACACTTCACACCTCGGGATATATTCGACCTTAGCAGTAGTATATTTGCTAACCCTACCGCATATGATCAGACTAGAGAGCGAAATTCGAGATGATCAAATGATTGGAAAAAAGAAAGCCGGAGCCTTTTAAACTTTAGCAATGATGACTTGATGTTACCTTTGAGCTTTATGACTGTACCTGTATATATACATATTGCATTCCCAGCGCAGGGTCTGAGGTTCGATCTTCGGCGTAATGGCATTCAGGGAATAGAATAGGGGACTTATTACTTGGTTGGATATCAATTAACAATAGCTTAATAACTTAATAAAGCAGATAAATAGGTATAAACTAACATTTTGATATTCTGCCGCTTATGTTTATTTGATAAAAACTCTCAGCTGCCAAATCTTTGCTTCGCCAACTCCCTCAGCACACTCATTGTTTCTTCCTCCCTCTTCCGGTACGCCTTCAATCTTTCCTCCCTTTCCGCTGCCCGCGCCCTCAACATTTCCTCTCGTCGAATCTCCCTCTCATTCTTCTTTCGCATCTCCTTCTCCCTCTGCTTCTTCAACGATGCAAGGTCATCTCCATGGCCACCGCCACCCATCAGCTCGTCATCATTTACTATACCATCGTCGTCGCCGCCAGCCTTCGACTCTGCAAAAGCACGGTTGGCAGCGGCGGCTTCGCGCCTCTTCTCCAAGCGCCGTTCGCGAGTGCCGGGCTCGGCGCGCGGAGCGATTTCTTCCTCTGCAGCGCGTATTTGGGTCCTGTGGGCCGCGCGCGCGAGGGAGATTTCCTTGCGCTGCATGATGAAGGCAGTTGTTTGGGATTGTTTTTGGGATTCTGTTCGTATGGGAGGTCGGGGTGGGGGGTGGGGTTAGTTTGGGTGGGTTATGTAAAAAAAAATAAAATAAAATAAAAAAAAAAATCATTTTTAGGAGGGTCTGCGACTGGAGGGGAGGAAGGGATTTATGTAATATAAAGGTGGAAGAGAAAGGGGGAAATGGGGGCGAAATTTTGAAATTAAAAATACGAACCTCGTTGAAGTTGTAGATCCTGGAGGGATGGGATTGTCGGGCCGGATTTTTCATCTGCTCTGTGACTACTGGAGCTTGAACGGACTATGGCAAGTGAGGGGTCAGGCGTGGGGAGCTTCGGGCCATATGACTCCTCTTCCTCATCATCGTCTTCGTCTTCATCTTCGTCTTCTTTTGGGTCTTTGGTTCTTTGGTCTAGAGACAGAGTAGTACTTGTTGAGCGTTCGCGCGGGGGTTCGCTTGTCTCCTTCCCAGCACTTCTTTCGTAGTGTTCTCCGTAATCTGGGGAAGCCCGGAGTCCATGTGTAGAGCCACGCCAGTAATTTCCGGCCGCGCTGTCTTGCTGTGCCTTTTGGAAAGTGCTCGGGTCGTACCAGCCCTCCGCGAGTTCTCCACGGTTCCTCAGATGTGTCAGCATCAACTTGGGTTTCAAAAGGCTTTCTTTGACTCCCCCCCCCCCCAGCAGAGAAAATAAGATAAAGAACAAGTACGTATAACCAAATGAAGGAAGGGGGAGCAGCCAATCGCCTTACCATTTTCCCACAAAGCTCTTCCACCTGCCTTTGACTTCCCGTTCATCCAGATCCGCTATGTCGATATTCTTCTGTATATCTAAATACAGCGCGAACATGGGCTCAAGAACTTGCAGATCGTGTTTGGAAAGCGGCCTGGCATCAAACGGGAGTGTGGCTGGCGCCGCCACTGCCCGTCTTTCATGTTCTCGCCTGCTATGCGCCTTTTTCCTTCTTTCTGCAGAATCGGACCGTACATCTCTCTCATCGCTTGTATGACGATGGTGATCACGGCGTCGAGAATGCTGAGAACGTGGGGAGTGTGACGTCGACATCGCGTGTGAGTGTGGTCGAGAAGGCGATCGAGATCTGTAGCTCCGATATTCATCCCGACGGTGTCTGGATGTGTCCATGATGGGTGTGATGGTGTCGGTTTTGTATATCTGACTGTGGTGATGACACCTGAGGTTGAAGTTCGGAGCGGAATTTTGATGGTGGTTTGCCAAGACCCGCCACTTGCATTCTACAAAAGTAAATTACCACGATAGATATATGTGGAAATAAAGGGGAAAGCAATTAAAGAGATAGCAAGTTAAAAGCGTAGTATATGCAATAGTACAAACTAGGCTCGATCCACTAACAGGAATTGGCCTTAAACTACAGTCAAGAATAGTTCAATCCGAATGACACTCAGAACATAATTATGATAACCGTTTTTAGCCCTCGATTACTTTCGCCTCGAAATTGATATATTATATTATATAGGGGGGAAACGCGTTTAGCTGGCAGGAGCACTTGTCTCTCGATCATCGGTACTGAAGCTTGCGTTCTCCACTGTGGCTGTCTTGGATTTATTGGAAGCAGCCATCTGCCACGCAGGGATGCTTGCCGGTTTTGCAAGCTGGGAAAATGGACTGCTGGAGTTCTCCCGGGACGTGGGAGCTGGCACATGCTGTGGTGCGGGAGTGGGGACAGGAGTGGATGCGGCAGCTTGTGATGAGGGAGTTGTCGCGCTGGGGCGATTTGCGGATGTATCTTGACTTAGCTGGGGCGTGGTGGAACCAGGCCGTGGAGCAGAAGAAGCCGCCGAGACACTGCCGGATGCTGAGCTAAGTCGATTCCCGAGAAGAACTTTCAAACTTCTGAGCTCATTACCAAGCTCTTTGAGTCGTTTTTCATTTCCTTCCTTCGCCCCATCGATGGCTCTGGGTATGCTGTCTTTCAAACCTTTTACCTCTTCCCCAATACGCCGGGTGTCCTCATCCCGTCGCCGCGAGGAGGTCTTCAAATCTGTAATCACATTTTCCACTTCACGAAGCGCAGAATCAAGGCGCTCGGTCCGTGCTTCTTCCGCGCTCTTAAGGGTTGCTGTGTCGCTTGATAGCTGATCGAGGAGCGCAAAAGCACGAGAGAACTGTTCGTCAATGCTCTCTTTGTCCTGCTGTAGCTGAGGAGGGGTAGGAGGAGCGATAAGGGGTACGATATATCGCTGTAATTTTGACATTAGGTTTATCGGGTTCATGAATCAACGACGAGGAATATCCATACCTTAGCCACAGAGTACAAGCCATATCCGACACCGCCTATCACTGTCGCCATGATAAACCAATCTCGCCAATCTCGTTTCGGCAATCTACAAAAGGGATGAGCGTTAGCATATCAAAACCGGGAGAAGACGTAACTGGTAACTAGAAGTACCACTCACTCCGGAGGAGGCGGTGTAGGTTGCCATTGACCTCCCGGACCATATGCATAGTTTTGGCCATATAGCTGAGTCGGTTGCCGGTAAATTGGTTGTTGACCTGCAGTGTTTTGGGTAGGATGCTGAGTAGCAGTTGCAGATGAGTCTTCGCCTGCTCTCGAAAGCGCTTGATCGATCTCTTCCTGTGTTAAGTTTTTTGATTGTAGGAAAGCTATCTTTTTGTCCAGCGGCGCGGATGAAACCGATGGGTCATGGAGGACTATGCATGTTAAATTTGAGGGTCAGCTATTGGATCCTCAAAACTGGAAAACAAGCCGTGGGCATCGCGTATCAACGTACAAGAAACCTAGAGTAGAATACTATGAGTGAATGCATATGAATATACAATGACAAGAATTATAGGAAGAACACATACCGCAGAGGAGACAAGTTCCTCCCGGAGAGCCATGGCTGAAGATATCGCTAGGGAAAATGGTCGATAGCAAAAGCTATCAAAAAGTTTGCAGTATGTGTTTAATCAAAATATATCAACGTGCCCCCATCCTGCACGCATCATTCCATCTCTTTTTCTGATAGTTGATGGAGGCATGAAGGTCAGGAGCAAGAAGACTCGGGAAGTCCTTTTCGCGACAGTCGCATGCCGAGAAGGACAAAAAGCCGAGGCTGGAGCTGGTCCGAGTCCCGTGATAACGGTTTACGGGGATATATTTATCCGATGGTTGAATAGTTTTGTTTACATCAGAATTTCCTAAGAGGGCAAAGCAACAACACTCTGAGGTCATCTTTTGCGGTTACAAACCCTCTGCTTGTCGTCTACGGGATGATGACATTATTTTGACAAATATTACACGTTCAATTTTCCTTGTCTTTCGACTTAGCCTGAATTTCCCTCAAGTTGATAGTGGGGTGCAGTCACCACATCAGGCAGTATGTCGCAAGACACTGGGCTTTTCAGCATTCGACGACCTCGAGAGGTACACGGTTATCTGGTTTTTTTTAACAGTTTCACCCCAAGGAATATCCAGGAATTGAATTGATATGAACTAACTCAATCTTCGGTGCAGACCCTTGCGAGTGTCCAGAACTTATCGTCCATCCCGCAGCCTGCCTCAGCACTTAAACGAACCAGTTCCGCAGCAAACTTCCAGAATCCACCGTACACGTCGCAGCATGTGCGCACAACTTCCGTCGGCGGTCAAGGCTTTAATCGACCACAACAACCAGTATTCCAGCGATCTTCATCTGGAGCTGACAATGGACTTTCATCCGTCCGCCGGTCTGTTTCAAGCAACATCTTTCACAGTGCCAGCGTTGGCCGCCAAAGCTATGCACCTGTATCCTCTCACCCCGTCCCCGCGCCGCAACTACAACGGCGAAGCAGTGTTTTCTCGCGCCAGTCGACGGGTGGCCCGATGAGCCATCACCAGTCATTCTTTACCCAAGCCCCTGCCCCTGCTGGTGTTCCTAGAGACCCACGCCCACTCAAAGACCGCTCTTACCAGGCGCGAATCGGACAAGAGCTTTTGGAGTATCTGACACAAAATAATTTTGAGCTAGAGATGAAGCACTCTCTCACGCAAAACACTCTGAAATCCCCAACGCAAAAAGATTTCAACTACATTTTTCAATGGCTTTATCGAAGAATCGACCCTGGCTATAAATTCCAGAAAAACATTGACGCCGAAGTTCCTCCTATTCTTAAACAACTACGCTATCCATTTGAGAAGAGTATCACAAAATCCCAAATTGCAGCTGTTGGTGGCCAGAACTGGTCGACTTTCCTAGGCATGCTTCATTGGATGATGCAGCTGGCGCAGATGCTTGATCGGTATTATTTGGGACATTACGACAATGCTTGTGCGGAAGCCGGCGTAGATATCTCTGGTGACAATATTATTTTTCATTTCCTCTCCAATGCCTATCGTGATTGGCTTCAGGGCGGCGAGAATGAAGATGATGAGGTGGCGGAAAGACGCCTTATTCCTCATATTGAAGCAATGGCAGCTGACTTCGAGCGGGGGAATGAAAAATATGTTCGTGAAATGCATGAGCTTGAAGCAGAGAATAGGGAGCTACGGGATCAAATTGAGCAAATGGAGAAGAATGCCCCGGATATAGCGAAATTGGAAAAACATTTCAGGATTCTGGAGGATGATAAGAGAAAATTTGAAGACTACAATCAGAATGTCCAAGGAAAGATCACCAAATACGAAAATCGCATCAAGTTTCTTGACGAAGAGATAAGTAGGACTGAGGAGGACTTCCAGAAAGCCGATGAGGAACGCCTAGATCTGCAAAATAGTGTGGATAAACAGGGGATTACAATCCAGGATATCGATCGCATGAACTCCGAGCGAGAACGGCTTCAGAAAAGCGTAGAGGATATCCTCATTCAACTTGACGATACTCATGCTAGGGTCATGGAAAAGGAGGCTGAAGCAAATAGAAGGCTTGAATCCCTGGAGCAAGTTGTTAAAACTTTTAACACTCTTGGTTATCAAACGAGCTTAATCCCAGCGACCGCTGCAAACGCTAAGGGCCAAGACTATGAGCTCCATCTCAATCTGAATGAAATCAACTTTTCTTCATCCCAGTTGGGTACTTCCAGGACCTCGCCAGAAGGTGATCGTTTGCTTGCTGACACTTTCACCGGGTATCATCCAACGAACCTCTTGAACCTCGACCTTCGTGGCCTCGTTCGTAGCAACTTCATCTCTCTACGGAAAGAGATTAATGAGCGACGGAAACTTGCTCTGGATGCAGATATGAATCACCGGGACCTGTTAGATAATATCAAGGAGGCCATGGACGAGAAAAGGAGCGAGGTAGAGGCCCTTGAACACAAACGACGCGCGGCAGAAGAGGAATTCGAGAAGCTTAAGGAAATTACAACAACCCAAAAGTTGACATCCGACTCCCAAATTGAAAAGATGGAAAAGGAGCTTGCTAAAATGCGTGCTACCCTGACTGAAAACGTTCAGCTCATGGAGCAACGAGAAATGAACACCAACATCGAATACGAGCAACTAGTTCTTCGAGCTAATGCTCTCCGTGAGGAGCTCCATACCGGTGTTGAAACTATGTTGAATGATGTTATCCGGTTCAAGGTGCACATTCAGAAAAGCTTAGAAGATTATGAGAGCTTTGTTGTGGATGAAGTAGAGCAAGAACTTGGAAGTGACAATGACGAGGATATGTAAATAAAAATATGTAGGAGTTATGGTACGATTGGTTTATGAATCATGATAGCATTGGAGCCATGGGTTTATGGCTGTATATTTTGTTTTTCATCAGTTGGTTTGAAGGCTTTTGTAGTGGGAGTTGATATTTGAGCGACAACTGAAATATGGCCGCTACCACCCAAACTAATTGCTGTGGGAATAATGGAAACTTTTTGATGTACAGATTACTCAGGTATACTTTGACGTGATGTTGTTCTCTCAATAATAAGATATTAAGTGCATCCTGAACAGCTTTCCAGCGCCATATCTGTGGCTGACTAAGCTAAATATTTTTTCCTTTTAAGTATACGAAAGCTTCAAAACTTTTGACTGACAATTTTGAGCAGGCTAATCCTCCCTCACTTTGCAAAACCATTGCGAAAACATCTTGATGGACTGGGATACTAATATATTCCAAGCCAAATATGCAACGTCTCAGAGTGATATCTCCTCCCGTCGCTCCTTCATAGGTCGTTTTATCTGCTTCCGTTGACTCTGGTCGTGTCATGCAAACTTGCCTGCGCCCAAACCGCGCAAGATATTTAGGTCATACACTTCGTCTTATTCCGGGCACCTCGATCATCTCGTCATGGAAACTTATAGGTTTTCGTTCACGAAACTTTGGGCCCCCTCCCTCCATCGACAGCGTGGCGACCTTGTTGGTTCGAAGTTGGAACGTCGCGCGACCAGTTCCCGTACCATACGAGGAGAAGAGGAACCCATCGCGCTGGGTTTCAGAATTGGAAAAATTTCTTCCTTCGGAATTACGTGAGAATACGAAAGAGGACGAGTGTCCGGAAGAAAGCCCGGAGGAGGAGAAATGCCTGGCTCTCCTAGACCTTTTGGATCACGCTCGAAGCCCGGACTCACTTGGGTATGATTTGTTGGCATACCTTGGTGTCAAACTTGGAAGGTGGTCCGCGTTTTACGCAATAGTCAACAGACTGCTTGACAATGCCGAGGAAGCTGAGAAGCCGTTCGCGACCCTACGGAAGGGTTCCCTTCCGTCAAACATCGATTGGGCAAGCTTCGGATCCTTCGACACGATGACAGGTGACGAATGTGCGAAGCTCCAGGCTCCCCAGATCTTGCAAAGTGAAGGACAAATGTCGTTAGACTTGATTGATTTGTACAATGATGGACCGCGGGTTACAAGCAGGATGGGAGAGAAATTCACTCGAATAGGAACAATGGAGGAACTGTGGCCTAGTTTGGGAAGCATAGTACTCGATGCAGCTGATCTGCCGCTGGAGGAATCGCGGACTGCCATGTTTTATTTCTACAGGATTGTTGCCCGCTTGCATCACCTAGATTACATCCCACATGGGGTATACAAACGCGCTAGGTCTCACGTTGGGGATCAGTTGAATCGTGGCACACCTGCCATGCATCTTCTATCATCCCACATCATGAACGTTCTATCTGATGCTGTTTGGATAGGCAACGAGGTTGATACTGCAGCGTCTGCGCTAGCGACTGGCAAAGATGTATCAGCAACAACCAAGTACAAAATGCAAGTCCGACCGCTTGGCCCCGAAATTTGGTTGGAGTTTATCTTGTGGTGCTGTGTAGAAGGAGGGTTCAATATCGAAGGTTCCTGGATATTGAAACAGTTAGCAACTAAAAAGAGACGATGGATTGTTGAGAGTTTTTCCGGCCATTCCATCCATTTATATTCGATCACTGCATCCAAAATCGACCGATATGATACCTGGGCTAGCTGCGCACACGGGTCTAAAAGTGCAGATGTCAGTGAATCAGAGGGCCCCTTTGTAGGCCTGGGCAAGCGGACCATAAGCAGTGAAGTAGTCACTTCAATGATTGATGGTCTTAATAACAGTGTCAAGGCAGGCGTCGGACATCGGGGCGTTTATTATACCTCCGTTCTTGATTACATGAAGTCTCTAATGGAGCTTTTGAAGGAAAATAATGTTTATTTAAAGCCGCGAGACATGGACCACCTCATCGTTCGCACGATCGAAGCTCGAGGGGTGGTACCGGAGGTTGACCCGAAGTCTTTGGAGGATTTGTTGAATCTTGTTTCATACATTCCCAACCTTTCTGAGGAATCATCAGAAGCAATCGCCCATTCCCACCCACTTGACAAGTCAGGGGTCGTCTTAGGTCTGAACCATTATGTACTGGATTCGTATGCCCATACAGAACATGTCCACAAAGCCCGTGGCCTCTTGGACAAACTCAACGCTACCAATCGCTCCAAAAAAAAATTCATCGAACATCAACCCCTTTTGGAGCCCAATGAAAACCCGAAAGGGAATTTGATACTTGGCACAGGCACGACACAAGCAGTGCCACGAGAGCCATCTTCGATCCCAGAGCGAAATACGGCATCCTTTACAGGATTCTCGAGTTCATCCCTCTCACAATTGCTCACCCTTTCAGTCTCGCCAGGACCGCAAGATTTTGCATCTCAGCTACTTTTTGCTGACGGAGATGAACGCTCCATTATTCCACGGGAATGTTACTCGGACGATCTCCTTGCACCTGCAATAATTAGATACGCAACTTCCATTAAAAACGAAAAGCTGCTTAGCGCGGTTGCGGAGGAGCTACCACTTCCGTGGTCAATTCCTGTTATAAAAGCATTTTTCGGCTATGCTATCCAGCACCATGACTGGGATCGAATAAATGAAATTCTTCTCCACCTTCAAACTAACGGGGACGGTTGGGGCCCTGATGAGGTTGCTTCTTTAGCAGCAGCGATAATACGACTGGATAGCGCCTGCAGCACTGGTGGAAACGAAGAAACCCCGGAACAAGGCCAACCAAACCCTTTGGTAAAATCTGGGGAAATTCTAGCCAAATTATTACAGGGAGAATTCAACCCAAAGCCTAACTATTCCACAGGGGATACAAAGTACCATGAAGCGATTCTTTTCCAATTCTTAAGAATATTCAAATCAATCCGGGGTACCTTATCCGATGTATGCGAGAAGGTAAAACCACAGTGGAAAGCTAGCCAACCTCCCGCAGTTACAATCCCCAGCTCTGCCTTCAATCAAATCCTGTCTGCCATCGTGGACACAAGGGGAAGTGAATCCGGAATACAACTGTACCGTCTCTGGTGCGTCGATAGACGTTCCTCCAACACCCAGCTAGGCGGGAACGTTGCGCTTCGCTCTATGGCACGAACCCCCGAACACCTCCGTGGGATAGGACAAAAAGTGGTAGATGTTCAATTGGGCCATGATGGGTATTCCAAATTCATCCTGCCGTCTCTGCAGACAGTACGAATCATTGCGCAAGCAGTAGTCCGCGAGGTTCATTCGTCGGAATCCAGTGGTAGGAACTATGATGCGAGTGGATACGTCGATGGGGCCAAGCAAGATATCTTCGTCTGGGTCAGGGAACGTTTTTCGTTATTCAAGTTGCAGCAGGAAGATATTATCGATGAGTTGCGAAATTGTTGGATCAACGCGGCGCTAGAGGGTGCGCTGGAAAGAAAGGAAGAGACCCATTCTTCATCATCAGTAGCCAGCTTGGAGAAAACCGGAAATTACAAACCTCCTAAAATCCACCGTGGCCGAGGATAAGGATCGGTGATGGGCTGCGGAGATATGCTGTTGCGCAATATAGCCGTCATGTGCTGGTTTTATACTCCTTTAACCATTTTCAATTGTTTCTCATCGCACATATTTCTGCTACTCATGTAAACATATTATTATGCATTATATCCGGCGCCAGTATCAGCGTTAGTATCAGCGTTCTTTCTTTTCTTACAACACAAGTCACATACCCCTTTTGTTTTTGGTAATGAATCACATGGTCTTGTACGATAGAACGGGAGGATCGAGATCAAACATGTTAAATTATTGGCCTAGACAGAGATTTCATTTCACCTCTTAAAACCATCAAGATATAAACACACATGTGTTCGAAAACATGGTTGCTGATTTCATACACAATTTATATCTACGTGCGATGATCAAAGTGAAAAGAAAGTATGAAGGATCAAATCCAAGGCAGATTAGGAGGAAAAGGGAATTAAAATGATATATTAATCGATTCACAGGTGATACGCGTGGGGATCCCCAGGAGATTCTACCGACTTATTATTACTTTTCCATCCATAATCGCCCGTAGATAAAGCAAAATCATATCAAGCTACAAAACAACGACAATAACCTAAAAAGCAACAAACAAAAAAGAAAAACCAAAGACGGTCAAAGTAAAGGTCGTAGTAGCAGTAGTAGAAGTAGTCTACCTGACAAAACCCAACCCGCTATCCAGCAAGCTACTTGACGCCACAAAGCTAAACCCACGAAACGGATCATCCACAGTCGTCTTCCCAGGTTGCTGAATATCCCGAGAAGAAGCGTTACCACCAGAAGCCATATGTCCATCATCACAAGCATCAGGGAACCCATTTTTCGTCACAACAGGACTAAGCGGCAAGCTGGTGAAAGCCGACGAGAAATTCTCCGCCAACGCCGGGTCCGTGATGAGGGGTTTAATGGGTGGTTCGAGCTCGCGTCTCTCTAGAGATTTCCAGTCAATCTTGCGAAAGAAACGGTGCTTCTTGATCGTTTGGATGTCCTTGGGCATGTGGTAACCGAGGCGCTTATGGGGTTCCTTGCGAAGGAGACGAGTGAGGAGATCCTTTGCATCCGGACCCAGGAAATATGGCAACACAAGTTTCTGTTTTACGATCTTTTCTTGGATCTTGGCGTGGTTATTAGCTTTGAAGGGCGGAGAGCCCGTAAGGAGGTCGAAGCCCAAGGCTCCTAGTGACCACCAATCGCAGGCTTTTCCGTACGGCTTACCTTGGACGACTTCAGGAGCCATATACTCGACAGTGCCCAGCGATGAGTTGCATCGGTCCTGGCCATCAACGGCTACTTTGCTAAGCCCGAAATCAGTTAGGAGAAGGTGGCCATCTGCATCCAAGAGACAGTTTTCCGGCTTCAGGTCACGGTAGACAACACCGACGTTGTTGTGGAGATGCTCCAGAGCCAGCACTAGCTCAGCCATATAGAATGAAGCCACTTCTTCGGAGAACATACGTTCCATAGCCAAATGTGTGAAAAGCTCACCACCCTGCGCATATTCCAAAATCAGATAAAGTTTCTCATGATCCTGGAAAGCATAATACAGCTTGACGACAAATGGGTGGCGGTTGACAGATTCCAAGATCGCTCGTTCAGTTTTGGTTTGCTCTACCAGCTTCCTATGCACGGTGAGAGAGGCCTTGCGGAATTGCTTCTGCGCATAGAGGACGCCCGTCATGGTATGCCTGACCAATAAAACTGTACCATAGGTTCCTTTCCCAAGACAGGACAACTGTTCGAAATCTGTAGCTGCCATCTTCCGACATAAGGTGTTCTTCACCCACTCCTCATTGCCAAATGACATGGCATCACTACCAGCACCATCAGCGTCAGGACTCACGAAGTCATTTTCTAAAGGGACCTCATAGCTGGTAGTCTGGTCGCTGTCTGAGGAGACACTGGCACAGCTTGGGGTCTGAGAACCGAATTGGCTCGTGTTGCGAGATGCCGGACGGCTGTTCGACAAACTAAGGGTATCCAGCTGGAGTTTCAACGTGCTGATTCCTCCACTTGAGGAGGATGGTCGAAGACCAGGACTATTCCCACAACTGACGCGTGGAGGGAGCCATGGGGAAAGAGTCTTAGAACCAGGGTTGGAATAATCTGACTCATCCTCCGTAGATGCGTTGGCAACAAATCCACGGACGGTGGTGGCGGCAGCATGAACTTCTGCAGGCCGTCGCAACTTCTTCTTTCGTCTATTCTTCCCACAAGAACCTAAATTATCTACCATCAAATGTCCAGTGCCAGTTGACTGGACACAAGTCGTGTTTCTGGTGGGGCTGATTTCAGGCCCATATAAACGAAAACCCGTAGGTGATTCACCATGGATTGCCTCAGCCTCTGCTACCCTGTTGCCGGCATGTGCCTCCTCTGAAACATGGTCGGAGTCTTTGTCGGTTTGCGGAGCAAAAACATCTGACACGGTGAATTCTTCCTGTTCTAGCCATGATTTGGCTGATCTCGAAATGGAGCCATCTTGATCAGTCGAGAGAATATTCAGTTCACAATCCAACGGAGGGCGACGCAACGGGCTAGGCGCAAACATCCCTACCAAGTGGGATGAACGATTGTCTAGATAGTTGTAGATTTCGATTCCGTAGAGCTCTTTGTCACATTCATTCACCAAAGATACGTTTGGAGGGGGAGAGCGGTTCCAAGGCGGACGGAGCTCTCTTAATCCTAGTATCAACTTCGCAAAGTAAGCACACCTTCACTCATTTACACAGTAACAGAGTTACTGTTACTATGGTCAAGAGATATCAAAAACTTGCCTCTGGTTGGGAACTAATATCTACTGACGGTCACAATAGAGAAGCTACGCTCAACGGCGCGAATATCAGATTACCGTCCGCCCTTGTTCAGGACGGACCATTCACCGGTAGCCACACCACGTTGTCTGGAGTTGGGCTTAGCGCGGTCCTGGAGAAACTGTGAGCGCAGATACTGGTGGAAGACTCCAAGGCAGGTAGGCAGGCGAAGGCAGAAGTGCAGCTGGTGCCAGCAGAGAAAATGAAAAGCGGAAGACTGTTAGAGCTGCGTAGTCCCATAGATAATAAAAATAAGGAACCAGATAGTGAGATTCTTTGAGATAATGATCACGTTCGGAGCCAGAGAACGTCAGAGCAAAAGGTAGTCTTTTGTAGAGTGAAACTGAAGGATGAAGACGGGCAGGGGAAAAATGAAGCGCGTAAAAGCCAGCGCATGAGAAGCCGCCTGGGACAAAAGCATACGCTAATCCACTTTGGGCTGGCGCATATACTTTTAGCCGGTGGACAGAACCTTCTTAACCAAATACAGGATTTCTTGCTCTCGAATTCGAGAGCAGAGCTAAAGAGACCTCAAAAATGTGCCCCTGTTCGGGGGAATAAAACTACTGTAGTGGTGATAGTGGTTGGTCCTGCAGTTGTCTAAGCGAGCATTCTGGAGCCTGTTTTATTTATTTATCCATTTTGCCCAGTTTTATGGCTGGCAAAAATCACGTCTTGTGCGCCTTATCTCTATGCCCGAGTACCCCACAAAGGCCATCGCGCTGGGCTTTTCGACGCATACAGTCACTTCATCAAAATCAATGCCTTGTATGGTTGTGCTCGCGACCTGTTGAGCCATGGCTTCGACTGTTCTGAAGCTGGAGTTTTCAATCGCCTGTGATGACAGATGATAATGAGTTCACGCCAGCCAAAACGTCTCACTGCAGACATACAACAAAATATGATTATATCCCATGGTGTTAAAACCTTAGATAAGAAGATTGGGTGGACTCACATCAGTAATACGTCGTGCTACCTCCTGTAAAGGCTGCAAAATGTTGACCTGCGGGTGTAAATTTGCGTTCACATTTAGAAACTCCAGGGAAACCACAACCGCCTGTTTGGTTTCCCTTTCATGGGGGTTCACTCCGATAATACAGTCGCAGTGTATGGCATCAATACGGCATGTGCGTAGGATCGTAGCAATACCTGGTTGTGCGGCTTGGTTGATAGCCGGACTGCCAGTCGATTTGACGGCGCAATTGACAACGCGATATGTCAGGCCGTTATCAGCTCTCAGAATGGCCTTAGGAAGCTGTATTGAGATATCGCTTTCGGCGCCCGCCATATCCCATCCCGCCCCTACAGGACCCTCTGGTATCGTTTCCCATACCAGCCCAAGAGCAGTAGAACAGATAGTAGAAGCCAACTCTTCCAAACCGATACTCGAGATACGCCCATCTTCACCTATTGTGGCATCCCTTAAGACTTGTTCAAGCTTGCGGTATAGTTCGCCGTAACTGAGCGTTAAGGAAACATCGTCGCTGCCGCCGCACTGCTCGATGAGAGGACGAGGATATGAAAGGCGAAGCGATAGTGTTGCCGGCTGTGGTTTACCAAATCGGCCCCACGCATCCGGACCGAAACTAATTGGGAATGGGAAGTTGATGTTACGGAGGAGGAGGGTGTCGAATCCTGACGGTGCCATTTTCTTTCGATGAAAGGAGAAACAAGGAGTTCAATCCGCTCCCTTGGCGCTGGTAACTGTAAACAGTGGCAGAGTTGGTTGGGAAGAAGCAGAAGAAGCACTCCGTGTATAGGAGATAATGTCCCCACTACCTTGTCAAAACATCTGGGAAACCCCGCGATAGAAAGCATATATCCACTAGATATAACTATAACTGCAAACTTACAAAACCTACATGACAAAGATTCTGGTAAACTACATTCCTCATCACAAAATGGATCTTGGCCTTCAATTATGCCACCAAAAACGAAGCGTCGCTGACTGATCATTTATTTTTATTTCCCCTTGGTATCATTTTCAACAACGCGAGATCTGTGATATATAACATCAAATTGAAATCACAGAGAAGAAAGACATTTTCATGAGAAAGGACAAAAAAATTGAAGTTATTATTCCCACATCATCATTCATCATACGAAATCTTTTTTCTTCTCTTCTTTCTCTCTTTGGAAAAAGCACTGGCAATTCCCCTTCCTCATCCAGCTCACCGCACTTTGGTGTAAAATGTCATAGGCATATACTGCATATATTGAAATAGAAGTGGACCATTGTTACACCCTCTCAATTGTCGTGAAGAAAAATCAAAATAAGAGAATAATCAGAATAGAGCCAGCAGAACACAAAAATTGGGGGGATCATCAGTAAAATAAATCTCTTGAATCCTTTGTGCCGTTCATCCATGAAAATTTCGTAAATATCATCAGAAATTTCTTGTGGGGTGGGCATTGTGCAAAAAAAATAAAGTCAAGAAGATGGCGGGATCAAAGATAGGCACAAAAAATGAATTGTGGAACAAGTCGGGAAAAGGAAAACAAGGGTGAAGAAAGGAAAATGGATAAGAAAAAAACTTTGTATCTACCGGTAGCTTCCCGGGTTTTTTTTTTTTTTTTTTTTTTTTTTTTTTTTTTTTTTTTTTTTTTTTTTTTTTTTTTTTTGGTTTTTTTGGCCTCTACCCATCTTTGAAATGGGAGACAGACGCGAAGTTCCATTCTAGCCAAAGGTTGATTGACGGCGAAGGGTCAAGGTGAGCCGTACTACCTTCGACAATGCCCAATCCTCTGAATAGCCGGTTTGCCGGTTTGGCAGTGTCAATCAACTTTTTTGAAAACAGGACCGGGGCGGAAGCCGCGCAGCCAATCCACGCTCTACGGGAATCAGACGGAAAATGTGCGTTTCTAGGTAATAAGCATCAGGTTCGCGTACGGTTCGCTTTCGATCCAAACAAGAATTGAAATCTTTTTTCCGCCTATAACGGCAGAGTACAGTAAAGAGGAGCACAAGAATGATGGGTACGAGTGGGATATCAACGAAAGGTATGAAATTAAGAGGTCTCTACCAGTATGGGCGGCGCTCATAGCCATAATCGCCTCTTGGTGGAGGGCTCCGCGGGCGGCCATATGGCCTAGGAGCGTAAGGGTCATCATAGTGACGGGGAGGAGGGGGAGGCCCGCGAGGGTCATAAGGGTCGTCATAGGGGCGGCGAGGTGGTGGTGGGTAGTCGTCAACACGAGAACGTGGAGGTGGTGTCCGACGTCCGTAACCATCGCGATCGTAATAGTCACGACGGGCCGGGGAGCGTTCGCGGTAGTGGTTGCGTGGACTGTACCCGCTGCGCGGAGGCCCACGTCTGTCATAATCATCGTATGGATGATACCCACCCCGTCGGCCAGGAGAACGGGAACGGTATGGATCACGAGGCTGGCGGTCCTCCTGGGATTGAATCTGGTAGACACGTGAGAACTAAGTTATCCGGGAGGGAAAACCAAGGGATTTCCTACGTCCTGCGTGCATAAGACCCTGGAGCCTTTGAATTCACGGCCGTCTAGTTTTTCAACTGCGGTTTTGAGGTCACTCCCTGTTTCGAATTCGACGAACCTTTTTGTTCACGCACGCAGCATCAGCAATCCTGGTTCAAAGACGTGGAGAGTTTGCTTCAAGGTCCTGAAGTTCGAGAATACTCACCCTCTTCCATCATGGCCAGCCTCTGAATAGACTACATCGAGGCCGGACTGTCGTGCGAAGTCTTTGAGATCCTAAACAAGGTGAATGTATGAGTCCAGGCCCGAATAAGAAGCAATTCCAGTTTCCTTCCAAGATATAGCGGGGCAAAAATAGTCCAATCCAACAAGGCTTTGGGGAAAGAGAAAAGAAAAGACAAGAAAAGAAAACATGCTCCAGTTGAGGGCAATTTCTGAGGTAGCAGCACAGTTACGTCGTCCGTTGTTGCGATAAGCACTTCCACGATGAACCATTTTGAATGAAAGAAGTAAGATGGATCCTCTATTCCAGCAGCTTCAGAGTATTATGGGCCAAGCTTAGTTGGAAGCGAACACCCAACTGTGGGTGCCTTTTAGCGTTTGTGAAGGCTCAAATTTCATATATTACAAAGTTTGCCAAGAACACGGCAAGTTTGCACACTTGTAATCAAGAAAGGGAAGGAAGGGGAAACGGTATAAGAGAGTGTCCAAATGGAAATATCTCCAAGGGGTTCCAGGAACGAATGGAGCTGAGCTAACCTGCCAACTGGTTTCTGGAAGTCCAGATATTTGCATTCGATAGATTGTCCGGCGCGGGCGTGGAGCGCTTGAGCGGTCCGACGGTCCAGAGAATGTTTCTTTGTGACGGGGTCCACGGGCAAATTGGACGGTGAGACGTTCACCCTTGAAATCCGTACCATCTACAAGTCAAGGCTGTCAAAAAAACGGAAGTCCCTGGCAGTGAGCAAGTTGGGAAATCTCAAGAGCATCGCAGACATACGGAAAGCTATATAAAGACGTAATGAGTTAGTCCGAAACTCGTATGAAGAATTAGAAAGAGACAATATATCAACGCAATAAACATCAAACTAACTACCTGGCACAACGTCCTTCGCATCCATGGCATCCTCATATTCGATAAACCCAAAGCCACTCATGAGCTTGATTTCTGTGATTTTGCCGGAGCCGTGGTGGGAATTGAAATGATCTTCGATCTCCTGCTTGGTGACTGGAAATAAAGTCCAGGCCAAAAATTGGCGCCTTTGAGTCAGCTTTTCGAGGCCAAACGATCCAGCGAAGAGAAAGCCAGAAGTGTAATCCATGGGAGTGGAATATGATTGAATTTCTTGGCGGTTTGAGCAGTGCATTTTTGGAATCTTCATTGCAAATCCTCTGCTTTTTCCATCGTGTCACATGTAGTTGTCAGTCCTCCACAGGACGAGGACAATCCAGAAATCCCAAAGGAACGTGGGGTTGTCTCATCGTTGGGTATCTGAACATATATGTGTGTATGTGTGTTTTTGTGCCAGAACCATACAGTGGATTTTGGATGTGCTTAATTAAGTACAAGGAAGATGTAGCAGTAATAAGACCAGCATACCGTTGCGGGGCAGATTCCCGAGATAGAGACGTGTGGACGACACTTCCGTCATGGCGGGCAGTCGAATGCGATAGTGTGTCCTAAGAACACAGAATCGCAGATGCGAATGAAAGAAGGAAATAGTATATCCTGAAAGGGTGTGAAAGTTGTTTTTTTGTGAAAATCCTCAAGACGCTTAACAGTGCGACGACAACGAGAGCGAAAAATGAGACCAGGGCTACTTGGAGCGGTCCTTTCCAGGTCACCAAAGCAGTATTTGGGTAGCCTGGCCAACTTTATATAAAATTGGATCGGCGGGTGGAATATTCCGTCCAGAGATGGAAACGTCAGTATGGCTAAGCGCTTCAGAACGAGAGACGCCGTGGATGAATGGTTGTTGTCGTTAGCAAAGAGATGGAAGGAGTTGGCGTTGGGAGAACGAGGCTGAAAAGGCGGTCAAACGGCAGAATACACACACCCTTGGACTTGGGCTGATTGCCTCACTTTTGACTACTACTCCATACAAAACTTGTGCCTTGGTTATGTTAGCAGGCTGGGATGAATCTTTCTGTTGAAGATCGTGTTTTTTCCTGATTCGAGATATGAACGGATGTTTGTTGAAAATAAACAACAACACCCGATTTTTTTGAAGTTTTCGCCCTGTTTCCGCCCATATACAGCTTTCCCTGATTATAGATCCAAGACTGAATACATCTCTAGCAATACCGTTTGTACTAGCCACACAAAATACATTTTAGTGATGATAGTGGGAAAAGAAAAGACAGGAAACGCGGAATGGGAATAGTAATATACAACACGTAACCAAACAAGTGATGCCTCTATCAAAGATTTGGCGATGATTGGACCCAGTTTCAAGGAAAGAAAGGAAAGAAAAATCAGCATTTGAGCTGGGAAAGAAATAACGTTATCGATAGCTTTCTAGGTGAGGTAATATTTCGGGCCCTCCCCACCTTGGGGAGTCTGCCAATTGATGTCCTGAGTCGGTACCTTGATGTCGCAAGTTTTACAGTGGATGCAGCTGGAAGGAGGTTTGTTGTTAGCGGGGCTTCATGAACAGACTATATTTACATATTAGACAGTGGGGGGTTTGCAAGACTTACTTTTGCGCATTTATTTGGAAGCGCACACCCAACTTTTTACTTGGATCCTCAACGTACTCATAGACCCCGGCGGGGCAAAATCTATTCTCAACCCCTTGATATTTGGGATAACACTCCTCCGCATGTTTGTCCCAGTCCTTGACTTGAAGGTGGACCGGTTGGTCTTCCTCATGGTTTGTGCCAGTGAGGCTAACGCTTGTTAAGATGTCAAAACTAATAACCCCGTCTGGTTTGGGATACTCGATTTTCTCGCACTCGGAGGCAGCCTTGGTCGAATCGGGATCTGTACTATGGTGTTTCAGAGTCCAGGGCATCTTGCCACGGAAGATATATGCTTCTATGCCGGAGTACACAATACCACCGTAAATCCCTAAAGGAGTTGAGAATGAAGGGCGCATGTTCCGCACTTCCTTAAGTTCTTTCCAGATAGTGGAGTTTCGAAGTCCGTCTTCATAGTCATACAGGAAGACGCTTCCACTGTCGGTATTTGCAAGTGCAGAATATGCTGCCTCCGCAGCTAGCATACCTGATCTCATAGCAGTGTGCGTGCCTTTGACTTTAGGAACATTCATAAACCCAGCGCTATCTCCGATCAACGCGCCACCCGGAAAAGCGCATTTCGGTATAGACTGGAAGCCGCCCTCGATAAGCGCGCGAGCTCCGTAGGATATGCATTTCCCGCCTTCCAAAACAGATTTGATAAGGGGATGATGTTTTAATTTCTGGAATTCCCCATACGGCGATAACCAGGGATTGGGATAATCAAGGCCGACAACCAGGCCGAGACTAACCATGTTATCGCCAAAATGATACAAGAACGACCCTCCATATGCATCTTTCGGCAATGGATAACCCATCGTATGGAGGATTTCCCCTTTCCGGAATTTTTCGGGCTGAATCTCCCAAACCTCCTTCAAGCCCAATCCATATGTTTGAGGCTGGCTATCCCGCCGCAAGTCGAATTTCCTGATGACCTGCTTTGTCAAGCTCCCATGGCATCCCTCGGCAAGTAACGTGGCTCTAGCATGGAACTCCATCCCTCGTTCGAAAGAATCCTTAGGCTTTCCATCCCGCCCAATTCCAAGGTCGTTAGTTGCAACTCCTTTGACAGATCCATCCGCCTCATAGAGCACCTCACTCGCGGCGAACCCGGGGTACAATTCAACGCCAACCTCTTCCGCGCGCTCTCCCAGCCATTTGCATAGTTGGCTTAGGCTGATAATGTAATTGCCGTGGTTATTCATCTGAGGCGGGCAGGGGATTGGGATAGCATGTTTCTTTGTAAGGAAACGCATTCTATCTGATTTCGCGGGCGTGGCATGTTCGAATCTCGAGGGGTTGTCTTCCGATAGCCAGTCGGGAAATAACTCGTTCATCGCACTCGGTTCCAAAACATTACCAGACACTATATGATCCCCAATCTCGCCGGCTTTTTCCAAAAGTATAACCCGGAAGTCTTCATTGCCCGCTTCGTTTGCAATCTTTTTCAGTCGGATAGCTGCGGCGAGACCCGCGGGGCCTATCATCTCACATAAAACGGTGTCGAGTCAGCCCTCATGCTGTTCGAAACAGAGAGCGAAAGGAAAAAAAAAAAAATGAAAGAAAGAAAGAGAGAAGACGCACCACCGCCAACAATGCACACATCGACGCTATCCGATTCACGTTCAATTCGGGAAGGATCAAAGCTGTCCGAATCACTAGCAAACCTCCTCTGTAGCGTGCTTGAAAAGTCCCGTTTCTGGTTTAAATAAATCGTTTGCGCCGAGAAAGGACGTTGATGGACTATTCGCCGTAGACTTGATCCGACGAGTGTTGTGGGGTGGTGGGAATAGGCGCAAGCGGAAGTTTTCAGCACATCAGTGGCCCAGGAGCGCAGACAGATGGGAACAAGTTCACGCCTCAAGAGAGGTAGTAGCAAGGTGGTCTGTGAAGCCATTGTGTGTTGTATACAAGCAACAGGAGTTCAACAGACCACCTCCGGTTATAAGTGTTTGGTATGAATAGTGGATGAATAGTGGGCTTGGCTTGGATTCGCCGAAACCTGAGCAACTGGGGAAATATTGCCGTCAACAACCGAGGACTGCCCCTCAGCCAATGAGAGAGCGGGAGAAGGAAATCAGGGAATAATTCCTGCGATTGGCAAACATTTGAAACATTTGGTTGGATGGCGTATTTCATGCATGGTAGATAAGATGGAAGCTGCGGATTCGTTGCCAGTTAACTGGGCGCTTGGTTTAGTGGTATAATATGTCATTCGCATTGACGGGGTCGCCGGTTCGATTCCGGCAGCGTCCATTTTCTATCAGTTTTTTGATCGCATTTGCATACATCCGCCACGCAACGATCGCTTGAGATAAATTCCCGGTTCTACAGGATGAAATTTTTGGGGTTTAGATTCGCTTCATGATGACCTGGCAGTAAATTATAAATATACCACGGGAAGGCTTGGACTGGGCTGGAGATATACAGGTTGAAAACTTGTACCAGGATTCAGCCAAAGCAAACGTGCTGCGCGCTCTGTCGATTGGATACTGGATTGCAATTCGGTCAGTCAGAAGGAGTATTTATTTACCCCAAGGAAAAAGAATGAATCAGTAACACACATACCCATTGAAGAAACCCCGTCCACAGAAAGCGAACGAGAGCTTCCTTCTGACTATCGATAGTTACAGACGCATCCGTACTATGAAAAGGGTGATCAACAAAATCTTCATATCAGATCGGCGAATCTGAGCAGAACGTCCAAGCACTGACTGGGGTAAGGAAATAGATACTGATCCTCTCGAATGTTTCCGGATCAATGCTCAAGACTAGCCTCTGCCGTCAGTTCTCTTCAATATTGTATATATATATATATATATATATATATATGTGTGTGTGTGTGTGTGTGTGTGTGTGAAAGAGAGAGAGAGAGAGAGATGACGAGGACAAAGCTATGGAGCCAACGATCTGGCTTCAAAAAGATTCATGCACTGTGTACATCACCTTGTAGCTTCGAGAAGATATATGCTTCTCCCCTTCTCCCCTTCCCCCCTTCCTCCCCCCTCCCGCTTATCCACAACACCCCTTACACCCTATACGACTTATCAGCTTATATTCTCCCTCACCGCCGCCACCACCACCTACAATGGAGCTCTAGCACTGGGTAGCCAGCCAGCCAGCCAGCCAGCCAGCCATCTCATCCATACATCGCCGCCAGCAAAATCCAACACGCAGACCGGGTATCTCAAAGCATCGATATCAGCCAGCAGGGCTAGAGAAGGCATCCACGAGCCACGAGCATCAATCCCGTCGACGACGATAAAAATAGGAAGAAAGAGAGACACAGGAGTGTGTGTGTGTGTGTGTGTGTGTGTGTGTGTGAGAGAGAGAGAGAGAGAGAGAGAGAGAGCAACAGTTTCGGGTCCCTGGATTGCGATGCTGCGAATCAGCTTGCAATAACAATAACAATAACAACGAACCCAGGCCTCCTTTTGGGAATGCCTCGCTATATATATATATAGTTTCACAATCTTAGTTAAAGGGTCAAATGGTTATTGTTGTCTTGACGGAGGGGGAAATTTCAGTGAATGAACGGATGCGGTTGCTCTGGTTGAGTGGGTGAGTTGAGTGGGAAGAAACAAGACCCTGTTTCGATATCTTTATATGTGGAGGGTTATGTATATATATGTATGTATGTATATATATGTATGTATATGTATGTACGTATTCGATATTCTCATTAACTTGAGGAAATGCACTTCCCTTTTTGTTACTTGGCCCCCAGCCCTTCGAGATTGAGCACGTCTTTTCCATATAGGCCCCAAGACCGGGCTTTGTTTTTCAACACAATACACAATGCCAGAATACATATCCGTCTTAAATAGTATCCCGCTGGGATATGGGGGTAGCAGGTTTTCAGTTGGGACCAAGGAATTTGGGACATATAAATCGTCTATTCGGAGCGGTGAAATTGAAAACAATTTATTTACCCTCCAGACATCAAAGCTAGTTTGGTTTCTCAGGTGCCTTTTACCCCACGACACCCTCAGATAGATCAAGATAATCTATTTATCATCCGATCAAAGACCCCTTACCTGCATGTGAATGAGCATGTTAGCCCCTGCTGAAGCCCTGTCGAAGCCGCCTTGGCCTGTCACATGTCTCAATTGCACGGCGTCAAAAGCTGTTGCATATGAGGATGCATCTGGAGAAAATGGACAAGTACCCCAACCATTAGATTCCCTGCAGATGCTCCTCGGGGGCCTGATGATGGGTGCGCAATCCAACACACGAATCAAAGAAAGCCGAGCAGAAAAAAAATAGGAAACTGCTGCCTGCAAAGCCTCCCTTTCAGCAATTATCCATTAGTTCTATCTTCTTAGCAGAAAATTTGTTTTCACCCAGACAAAAAAAAAAAAAAAAAAAAGGCAAAAGGAAAGACAGTTGTTGCCTAGGGTTTGAAGTCCAGAAGCTCCAGTCCAAAATAACATCCACAAACGGGCGACGGAAGGCCAGGAGTCCACGACTGGATTCAGAAGCGCCAAGTCCCTGATCTCTGGGGCCCTACATTCATTATGCAAATTTGCGGGTGACGGTGGCCTCCATCCGCTGAAGCATTCATGATAAGTATTGCAGGCATTCTCACTCCTCTCATCCGGAATCACATGAATTTTCATCAACAAGTGCATATAACTGGGGCAAGTAAGATTATAGATCGCTTGCAGTGTTTTTTTTCCCATGGAGGAAAAAAGCCGCTTCGTACTTACCATAAGTGGGGCCGCGTGGATCATGAAAACGAGATTTCCGTCAGCATTTAGGCACGAAATCAACCAGCAGGAACCAGATCGCTTAGCCATCTCTGAAGACAACGAATTACATGCCTTTTAAATGATGCTGACGGTCGAGGAAATGTTCCCCACGTATGACGTTTGGTGGATGTGAAGTACTGTGCAGTACTCCGTAAATGCTCCTGCTTCACTTTTTGTTTTCAAAAAAAAAAAAAAAAAAAAAAAAAAAAATACCGCAATTTCAACTCCGTTACCTGCGTCACCGAAAAAGTAGATTCGTGGATGCGACCGTATCTCCAGCAAATCTCGACAGAGGGTATATCCTTTCTATATTTACTCTCCAGGTTCTGTTCTGATTTGGAAATAATCTTGTTGGTGAGAGGGGATGATGGGTGGTCCATTTGGGGATGGATGGCCCATTTGGGGCTTGTGGCCGTGTGGGCATTGTGGGCATTGTGGGCATTGCGTGCGGGTTTGCGATTGCTTTCGTTCGGGCAGTTGCAGGATGTACAGTACATACACAGCGCAGAGTGACCTGTACGAATATTTCGTTGTCGCTCAGAGGTAGTTGGGACGGGAGGAGTTGTGTAAGTTGTTGTATACATACAACCTAGTCTGGATCCAATCCAGCGCATAAAAAAAAAAAAATAAATAAATAAATAAAAAGTAACTTCTTAGGCAACAACCGATTCGAAGTTGAGGGAACACGGTGAGTTGGTTTTGTCCAAGTCACGATCCCACATGTAGCCCGTGTAATCCGTCTGAGGCAATTCCCAAGTCGTTTATTGCTCACTCACTCACTCACTCACTCACTCACTCACTCAGTGTCTCTGAGCTGCTTCCTTCCGGAAACGTTTCCAGTGGTAAAAGTCAGGATGAGAATCAAGGATGGTTTCCAAACCCACCTGAAAAGGTCAACAAGAGCCTGGCCAGGTTGAACGGGGTTGGTTTTGTTGGCGGGTTAGGGTTCGGCCCCAGCCACCCCGAAGACGTTTTGAAAAGGTTCCCATCGCAAAGAAGTTTGGCGGGAAGAATGATCCAAGGATAACGAGAGGAAGGAAACAGCCCTTTATCCTCAGCTGGCCTCGTCCTCATCCATCAAACATGCCGCTATGCTCAAATAGCCCAAGCTGAATGAACGGCGGCGAGAGAGGAGAGTGGATTACGGTCAGAGCACTGACAGCCAACGGTCGCAGACGGCGGTTAGCATCCATGTAGGAGGATAATGTTGGTTGTTGTGATTGTTAACTATCTAACCGAGAGCAACACAATATGTTAGGTGGCACGTGCCTGGGGTAGCCCGGGTACCTCGTAATGCCTAACAATCCAACACTTCACGTGAAAGGAAACTGCTCAGAGGCTAGGAGAGGATCCACGGAACGGAGCTAGAACGGCGCCCTGATTGGTGCGTGTGCAGCGTGCACATACTCGCCGGTCCCAGCCTGACATGACCAAGGAGTTGACCCGAGAAAAAGGCTCCAGAGAGTCAGAGAGGAGCGATCCGTCAAGACCCAAACAAGAGCCGCGCTTTGTGTCCCAGTCTGCTGCAGTAAAGCAGCACCAAGCCGGGATTCTCTGTTTGGTCCGACGCCTCCTGGACGCCTCCAGGACTACTGGCGGCAGTTCTGTCAGAGGCGTGAGCAAAGGTCCGAGGAACCTCCATGAAATAAATGGCAGCATTTATTTTTCCTCTGTTGCCAGGCTAAATCCATTTCTCAAAAGCAGGGAAATTACATAAGGGTATACCATAGTTATGCAGAGCACTGCAGATTCCCCCTTTTCTGGGCATTCTTGCGGCTTCAGGGTATTCTCGGGATTCCAACGGCGGGCTTCCTGCCGACCTACATAGTAGGAAGTCAATAAAAATACCGCTGAATCATGAAATCCTGGAAGGGGGGGCCTGGCATGAACTGCGTCGTCACGTCGGGCTTAGCAAGGTGTGTGGGTCTGACTCACACCATCCGGACCAATCCGGAACGGGGAATGGCAACATTGAACGCAGAGTAACCCTGGCCGGCCCTAGTGGGAGGGAAAAATGTGAGTGATCAAGCCGCTGATTGGCGTCACTGGCGCTGAGTAGTCCGATTATCCAATCATACAGCCTGTAAAAGTGGGTCATGGAGCTTCCTACCTTGGCACGCCAACCATCGACTGGCCCAATGGGGCAAGTCAGCGACGCCGCTTGAAGCAGCACCTGATGCAGCGGCCCAATCCCAAGGCGGGAGGACGACGGTGCTGGTACGGTAAAGGGGGTGGCGAGGGCCGTGTGCGCAACGGCAAAGCCCGTGTGGCCACGCTGGTCTTTGGCCACACGGACGGGGAATCCGGCGCGGTATAAAAGCAGGCGTCCTCCCAGTTTCTGGTTCTCGTCTGGAGTCCTGCTGTTGGTCTTGGCACTGTCCGGAACATCAACCACGCCGACTCTTTGGTCGTCCTTTGGTCCTCTCTGTCCCTCCTCGTTCCACCCCGCCCCCGGAGGCATAGATTCCGCCGTATTCTCCTCTCCTCTTCCCCCTTGTCTCGTATTCCAGAGAGTGACGGAGGCGTGTTCATCCCCGGCTCACGCCAAACCACAAAAGAAAAAAAGGGGGAGTAGTTGCAAGGTCTTGTTTTAAAATCCAAAAAGTTATTGCGTCGCATATATCATATATATATATAAAGCAGCAGAAGAAACAAAAAAAAAAAAGGGCAAAGGGGGAGCCGCACAGAACTTTTATTTTAGGTTTTCTTGTTTTGTTTTATTTTTTATTCTTCGTTTTCGCGGTTTTTGCCAAAGGGGAAGAAACCATTACGCTCCTTCAACAAGCTTAGATCAAGGAAACAATAATTCGCCGTCGCGGTATCTTTTTGGTCGCTGACAGCTCCTGCATTCACTTTTCAAGGGCCACACCACCCTGTCATTGCCGTCTTAGCACACATCCAGTGATATATTTATTTGATTATCTCGTCGTCCTTGCTTTCCCTTTGCCTCTTTTTTAATCTTCCAGTCTCTGCTTGCGACCTTGCGACCTTGCGATCTTGCGGCCATTTCATTTACTCTCGTGGCCGCTTTGGATCCTGTCGAAAACCACTTTCTTTGTCGAGGCTTTCTGGCACTGTCTCGACGTTTGATACTGTCCTCTTTTGTCATCCTCGCGCATCCGTTTTCAGCGGCACGAATCGGACGGTTCTAATACCTTGTTGTTCCCCTCTCCACACACACACACACACACGCAACTCTCTCTTATCACATCATCCGGCGCATTCGTCAAAGTGGAAGTGGAAGAAACTTTGGTGGTAACATCGACCTTCATCGCAACGCATCCCACGCAGCCCAACATAGTTCCGTTGTTGTCGTCTAGTTGTCGCACTGTCGGGGGAGACATTAAGTTGTTCATCTCCCACCTATCCAAAAGGTACGGACTTTTTTTCTCCTGTTAAAGTTTTCACATAGCAGAGCCTCTTTTACCCTTTTCGGCTTTAAACTTCACTTCTCTTCTGCCTCATTTCAACTTCACCAACAACAACACTAGCACCAACACCACTACTTCCCTCCCCCAGCCACATATAAATACTACTCCACCCCCACACCTCATCTTCTTTTGTCTTGCCAAGTTGGTGGGTTCATCACAGCCGACATGTGAATCTACTTCCAATCATTTCCAGTCCTTCATGAGGTTCATTATTATATGAGCATCCTGTCGCTACAAGCCTTTTTGCTATGGTGGAATCTGCTGCCGCTACATTTCGCGGGGAAAAAAAGATTGGCATGCTAACGCTACGTTACATAGACTATTCAAGTTCTAGGTCGTTCTACTGCTAGATCATCTCTGATCATCCTTCCACTGCACCTAAATCCTCGAACCACGTCTCACAACATGGAGTCCCTTACCACACATCCCTCGACTGCGCAGCAGGCGAAGGCGTTCACTTCTCCAGCTTCGTTATCGTTCCCAGGGGGTGCCGGTGATCTGACCCCACCGTCGTCGGAGAAGGATCCAGGCATGATGAACGGATCGCAACCATCGAATTATCAACTAAACGTGGGGAATACTGCCACTGGCAACGGGGTGACTCCCGCAACTCCTGCTGCGACTCCTGGAGCCGGTGCTGGTCCTGGAGTTAGCGGCATTGTGCCTACTTTGCAGTGAGTATAGCTCTTGGTGTCCTGGTTTACCAGAAAGCTAAACAGTCCATTGATATTTCAAGAAATATTGTTGCGACGGTCAACCTTGACTGCCGTCTGGATCTGAAGACCATTGCGCTTCACGCTAGGAATGCGGAGTACAACCCGAAGGTACTGATATGATGCACTTTTTTTTCTTTTAAATTTTTTTTTTTTTTTTGCTTCCTCTTGCTTCCCTTTGGTTTGCAGGGGATGTGATACATTAGCCATGACAAAGTATGGCTAAAACAATTCATATTATATAGCGTTTCGCTGCTGTTATCATGCGCATTCGCGAACCGAAGACGACCGCCCTTATTTTTGCCTCGGGTAAAATGGTCGTTACCGGTGCGAAGTCCGAAGATGACTCCAAGCTCGCTTCGAAAAAATATGCGCGCATCATACAGAAACTGGGGTTCAACGCGAAGTTTACGGACTTCAAAATCCAGAACATTGTCGGGTCTTGCGATATTAAGTTTCCAATTCGCTTGGAGGGACTTGCTAGTCGCCATCACAATTTCAGCTCATACGAACCTGAACTTTTCCCCGGTCTCATTTATCGTATGATGAAACCGAAAATTGTGTTACTGATCTTCGTCAGTGGCAAGATTGTTTTGACAGGAGCCAAAGTACGAGAGGAGATCTATCAGGCCTTTGAAATGATCTACCCCGTCCTCACTGGTATGCGTTATGAATCCGAATTATTCCTGACACCACCCGCTATTTGGCTTGATACTGACTTGTTGTGTTTCGTTTGAAGACTTCCGCAAAGTTTAACGCCTCACTCACTTCCTTCTGCGGCCCATCAAATCCATCACACCCTATCTATTACCTCGGATCTTCGGTTTACCACCTTGTATTAACAGTTTTCTTCTTCTTATCGATCATACGGCTCTGATTGAATGGAGCATGCATTACGTAGTTCCCTCCCAGCTTGTTGGACATGATAATTTCTGCTTTGAGCTAGCTGTGCCCAACGACAAGAAGGAAAAGTACCACGGCACTGACGGGAGTGAATCTGCCTTGTTATTTTCTGTCTTTGTTTTCCAATCATGCATTTACATGGAGTTATAGCGACTGTGTTTCTTTTGGGTTTTTTTATTGTCTTCTCATGCTTCATGCTCCTGCTCTTTTTAAAACTTCAACAAAGTTGTCTGTTATGGATGTTGCTGTTGTTTCTACGAATCCTGTTTACTACTTTACTTAACACGCATTAGAAAAAGTCGCGGTTCTCTTCTTCCCGCAGACCTGATGGGGGTTGGGCGCTCAGGCGCAATTAAATTCAAATTAATATGGGATGATGATAGGTCTTGTTGATTTCCTGTTCTTTTATTATTTGTTTTTATCTTTTTACTTTAACATGTCCCAACTTTTTTACTTTGATTTTTATCTCCTCCCCAACCTCTCACATGTGACAGACATGACATACAGGGAGGGGGTAGGATTGTTAGATAAGGGGCTTTCCGCCTCCCCTCCCATCCGGCAGTTTAAACCTGGCACGTATTGGCGGAGGAGGGGGGTAGAAAACGCGCTTGCTTCAACGTAACTACACTACAAAAAGCCATTGCTGCGGGGGGCGTTCAAAAAAAAAAAAAAAAAAGGGAAAATAATTTTGTCTTCTGATGTAGCTCCCCACCCCCACCCCCCAACTCCCTTCTTGTAAAGTCATCATCTGTCTGGTCTTGTTTGTTTGTTTGGGCTTTGATGAAGGTTCTCTTTTGGTTTTTTTGCTTCTTTGCTTTTGCTTTTTGCATTTTTCTCCCCCGCATCTTTTTAATAGTGCCCTTTTTTTCGTGGTTCCTTGTTTAGTTTTAGTCCTTTTTTTTTTTTTTTTTTTTTTTTATGGATTTGATCTTGTTTTGTTTTTTTCTCTTTTTTCCTTGGCCGTGCCTTGGTTGCATGCATCTGTGTAACTTTGCATTCTTCGCATTTGGGTTGTGAGCGGGATAGTTGAGGTTTACTTACTTTACTTTACTTTATTACTGGGTTAACTAAGTTAATTGATTAGCTATGAAAAATATGATCGTATTTGACAGACGGAAATATGTTCAAACGTTGAATCCTCTCTTTTTCCCCTTGCTTTCTTTCTTTCTTTCTTTCTTTCTTTCATTTTTTTTTTTTTTTTTTTTTTTCCGTGGTGTCTCTCCTCTTCGAATCTGATTTGTTTATTCTTGTAGAAACTGTGTAGTTCTAGTTATATTTATTACATGTGGTGCAAAAGCGTCATCTTTTCTTTTTATATAAACATCCAACTGTAACTATCTCCAGTCTGCAGTCTGGGGGGAAGGGGAGGGAAATACCAAATAACATTCAATATCGGAAACATCACACACACACACACACACACACACACACACACACACACACATATATATATATTTATACTCCGTATACACCAAGTTAATTCATACCAAATCAATGAACCACCCAAAAATCCCACCCACCCAGCTACAATCTACTTCCTCTCTTCCCCCCTTGCCCCTTCGCCAGCTCATCCATCAAAATCAAACCCTTCTCGCCAGACCGGCTCCCGTCTTCTGTCCACACAACAGTAGTAGCAGCAGCAGCATCCTCATCACCAGCCACCCCAGGCCACCCCCACAGTTCTTGCAATTCAGGATCCAAACGACCTTGGATGGCGTCGACGATCTTCTCCCCGAGAACAGGTAGGAATTTGAAGGCGTGGCCGCTGCCGCCGGTTGCGAGGAAGAGGCCGGCGTAGTGGGGGTGGTGAGTGATTATGAAATTGCCTTTGGGTCTGGTGGGTGGGAGAGGGGGGGGGGGGGAGGAAGGGAGGAAGGGAGTTAGCAAAAGTATAATTGTAATTGTAATTTTTTATTTTTATTTTTATTTTTTTAATGGATATATTTGGATGGTGTGAAGGGGAACATGGCCGGACGATGTCTAATTGGGGCGCTTAACTTACGTATCTGTATACCAGCACACGCGCGTCTTTTCAAATGGCCGATCGGCAAACGACGGCAGCATCTCTTTCAACGCGGCCCTGCATGCGCTTTCTCCTTCCTGCGGGAGCGGGACGTCAGCGACAGGAAGACTAACCTCTATCATCGTTGGTGTTTGGCCATGGCCTGGGCCGTACACGGGGGCCGGCACGCGCTGCGGGTTCCGGTAGCCGTATGCATGTCTCGCGATCTTGAGCATGTTGTTACGCGGCGGGATGATGAACATGCCCGTCGAAAGGTTTAGGACCGTAGGCATGTTTGCGAGCTTGGCTTGCTCTTCATCGGAAATGCGGATGTAGGCAAGGGCCTGGCCTGTCGCTTCGGCTTTACCGCGGAGGTCAAGTAGACGGCCTGTCCATGCACCTGTGGCTAATATGACTAGATCGGCTGTGATGGTGGTGCCGTCAGACAGTTCAACGCCGGTTACCTTAGCTCGTGCAGATGATGCGGCAGTTGTTGCTCCCTTGGCTCCTCTTTGGCCCTCATCTGGATGTGGAGGTGTTGATACTAATAATCGATTGACCTCCCCGGTACGAAAATCCACCTTCCCCATCTCGTCGATATTCTTTTTCGCAAACCTCACCGACGCTTCTGCATCGGCCCATCCAGATCCCCAGTTCACATAACCTCCCGAGACGTGCAGGCCAGTTCCGTAGCCTGGCGCCGCCCGTTCAACATCCTCTCTCGTGGGAAGTTTCTCGATCATTTTAGGGTTTGTAGCTTTGACATTCTCGTAGCTCTCCTGCACATATCCTTTGCCAGACTTGTCTCCAGATGATACTAGAACGAGGCCTGTCTGCGTATAACGGCCTTCATGACCCCAAGCTGTCGTACGCCATTTCTCAAGAGCCGATTCTGCCAGCGCGGCATACGCCGCATTGGCATAGTCTGCACGCACGATGCGGGAGGTATCGACGGAGGAGCCCTGCGGATTGGGGATCGTCGGCGAAGAGTCAATGAGTGTGATTTTCCCGGAGTGCCTAGCGGAGAGGGCGAGGGCGGTGGACACTGCAGCAGGTTAGCCTTTTCTTTTTCCAACTCGCAAATGGACCCCTCAAAAAACTGGAATTTCAATATAGGATAAGGGACAGAGGTAGAGAAACGAGCTGCTCTGCAAGCAGGAATATCCATTTGAATAGGCCAGTTCGGCTCCTAATGGGGCTTGATAAGTTTTTTTTTTTTTTTTTTTCACTCACATCCGAACACCCCGCCCCCAACGATGATTATAGAATCCGGTAACGGAGTTTCAGATCCGCTAAACATTTCCTGCGTTGAGTTTGCTATTGCCATGGTCAGAAATTGTAACCTCCTATGTCCCTGCTCCTCGTCGTCTTCCTTCTTCACTTCCTTCTCGCACAACGAACCGTGGTCAGTCGATGCTCGGCTACAGCGACACTGCCAAGTGGAGATTTAGGCGGTTTGTCATCGTTTGGTGCCGCGTACAATCGGCTTCCGGAGTGATTTATCAATACGGGGTCGCAGAAGGGGCGTCAGCGGGTAAACCGACGCCTTTGCCAAAACATATCCATGGCGGACGGCGGGTGGTTGGAAGCGTCGCAGTCGTAAATCTGAACCTTCACAATTGATCCAGGAGGCTTATGAGTCTCCTTGCAAGGGCAAATGGAGGGAGCTTGGGCCCATCAGACCGCCTTCTGCGGATTTTATTGCCGGGATTCTGCCAACATCAACAATCGTTGCTTCTGCGGTAGAAAGCATCTCTGGTGCTCGACATGACATGGCATGACTTCTGGAGCACGCTCTGCTCTATCTCTCTTCTGAGATTCAGGTCTTTCGCTTCATCGACTTCTTTCGCCTATGTCTCGATATGCCTCCCTTTGATGATGCCTACATCATGACCCTTGGATCTCTGTCCTGAAAATATTTTATAAGGAATTACAATACACCAGGGCCGAAGATTCTCAATTATTCCAGGCCGATTCTCACTATTATCTTTCTGTGGCCTATTGTTTCCTGTCTACCCATTCCCGCTCGTTTTCCGGATCTCATCGAGCCGCTGCTGCGGGAACGTCTGAAATCAGCGTAATGGTCTCGTCGCCGAACGCGAAGCGTCCCGCGAAATCCGGGAATGCACGCACGTCAAAGCAGTTACCTCTGGCACCATCTCAAAGGTCCGTAGCGGATGGCGCTTGCAAAAAGCTCTATATTCTCGTTTTGATTACATTGGCGCTCTTTATAATAATGGATCTGGATTGCTGAATATCCGCCCATATCGTCAATTCCTCCAACTCCAGCGCCGATGATTTATTCACCTTAACTTTGGTCCCCCGCTGTATCCTTTATAAGCTACTGCCACTACTACTGCTGAACCTAATTATATATATATCCATCTAGATATGTGGCTGATAGACATTGATATTGTAACAGAGCCCGGCCAAATAGGCCTCCCTTCCAGTCTGCTCCGGTGCAGGCCGCTCCGCCGCGAACCAGGTCGATAAACCCAAAGGGTCTGACGGTATGCGCAGTCGCCGCATTCTGCTTTTCTACATATGGAACCTACCTGTACGTAACCTACGACAGAACAGTAAAACAGTCCAAAAACCTTTCCGTGCCGGACGACGTATCGGACAGATTCCACAAAACCGCTCCAACCTACGACGCAAATGTGGAATTGACCGAGCGAATCATGCGCATCGGCAAGAAACGGGAGGAGCTGGTCAAGAGAGCGCGTGGAAACGTGCTAGAAGTTGCCTGCGGCACCGGGCGGAATATGCAATATTACTCCCTGGGCGAGCGACGCGGAACGGATAAGAACGGCAAAGCCGAGATCCTGGGATGTAGATCTGTCACATTCGTTGACCAAAGCCCCCAGATGGTGGAGATCGCTAGAGAGAAGTTCGAAAAGATGTATCCGCATTTCAGGCGGGCTGCGTTCTGGGCGCAGGATGCTATGGCTCCGATCCCACCCCTGGAACATACAACCGTAATGCAAGGCTCATCGCAAAGCAGTGGTAGTAGTAGCCTTGGTAACAGCAATAACAACAAGGGCAATGGCAACGGGAGCAAAAGCCTGCAAATGAGAGCCCAACAACAACAACAACAATCTTGCACGTTCGACACCGTCATCCAGACAATGGGTCTCTGCTCCCTCCCTGACCCCGTGTCTTACCTCAAACACCTTGGGACGCTAGTCGAGCCTGAGCGCGGGGAGATTCTCTTGTTAGAGCACGGGCGCTCACACTACCGCTGGCTCAACAAGCTCCTGGACGATCTCGCTGCCGCCCACGCAGACCGACATGGGTGCTGGTGGAATCGCGACATAGGGGAGATCGTGCGGCAGAGCGGGTTGGAGATCGTAGAGTCGAAGCGGTGGCATATGGGTACGACGTGGAGGTTTATTTTGCGGCGGAAGGAGGGGGCTGGGCGGGGAGAGAAGGACTTGGGCTTGGCGGAAGTATCAGAGAGGGAGGAGAATGGCGATGGGGCTGCCAAATCTGTAACGGGATGGCTCGGCTGGGGAGCGAAGAAGTCATGATTCGTTTTGCTGTTGAAGCCTCGGGTGATGTCATTTGCTTGAGCGCATAGTTATCACAGCACTCGTAGAATAGAACTCAACTCTCCAGTTTTAGAATCTTCTAAAAACCTTGCTCCTAGTACTATATTGTATCGTAACATACTTACTTATAAATATATATGGTGGATAGGTTAGTTCCCCGGTTTGATCAAAAGACCCGATCCAAGTTCAGTTGAATGGAGAAGAAGCTTCCACGAAACAAACAATCCCAGAAATTTTTACACCTCCAGATTCTGGAACAGAGTTGGATAGGGGCGGGCTCGGTCCTTAGCCAAAAAGCCCTAATCTTAGGGTCGAAACGAAAATAGCCACGGACTCGAGTGGAACCCCTGCAGGAGGGTTTTTGCTTTTGCTTTTTGCTTTTGCTTTTTGTTTGTTTGTTTGGTAACGATCTTTTTTTATCGTTATCCCATGATTGGTACATAGGGGGGTGGGCTCCAGGGGCTTAAACCCATCAATAAGTTACTAGTAACTACTCCGTACTCCGTAGTTACTTACGGAGTACTCTTGAGATTGATTTTTTTGTCTTCTTGCACCTTACAGCCAAATACCGCCGAATTTCACCAGACATCGTCAGTGATGCTTTCCCCGACATTGCCCGTATTGATTTCCTACGTAACTTTGTTTTGAATGTTAGGCATGGGCTGTCATAACTTTCGCTGGTTGACAAGGTTCCATATAGCGGAGACCAGTGAGATAAAGCATTTTAAAAAAAAAAAAAAAAAAAAAAAAAAAAAAACAATATCGGCGATCTTTGCGGTCAGATGCTGTGCTGTGCCATGGATGTGAAAGCTTTGAGCTTGTTTTGAATATAATTGGTGGTTATTTTGTCTACTGGCTGCTAACTATTTCGGGGGTATAACTACTTTGAACAATGGTGAAACCGAAGGGGTCCTGGAATTGGGGGGCCGAAAGCTTGTAACCGAATCAAAGAAAATCATATCTGCCCCATTGAACGTTCTATCGCATCTCTTCGTCAGTCATGGAGGGGGGGATATGAACGCGCCTCGTGGCTGTAAAAACCTTGCGTGGTACAGTAAGTAGTAACCTTCTGTCGAAGTCTGATATCCCTGAAGGGCATGGATGCTTTGGAGTGCGGGTGCGATCCAGAGCGGGGGATATCAACAATCAAGCTCGGCAAGACATAGAAAGGCGAAATATGTCCTCCAAACCCTCAGAAGAGGAGAAATGAAGAGACTTTCGAAGCCAACCACGGCAATTTGGCGAGACGAGAGGGAATGGGCTGAGGTGAAGATTGCCCAAAATGGAATCAATCAGCCTCCCTCCCAGATTGAAGCAAGAAACCGAGCTCGGGATCGTTTGCCCTCGCATAAGGTATGTGGACAACTCCATCTCCAAGCAGCAACCAACCTCCGCCAGACTTCGAAGCATTGCATTGCAGTGGGTTCGTTCCAGGATTCCACGCGGCTCCTTACACCTGTGCCGTTGTCCTTTTTCATTGCTGCCAACACAAACCTCCAGACTGACAGGTAGCTACTATCCTAGTACTCCGTACGGAGTAGTTAGTTACAAGTCGCCTCCCTTTGGAGGCACGGGAGGATCCAGAATTTTACCGTGAATGCGACTTAGCAACCCTCAAACGCTCCATGCCGTTGCATAGTTAATTATAGTACTCCGTACGTTTGACTTCCTTGATCGGGCATCCATGGATAGTTTGGTGCATTCATCCGAAGCTGTATCATGTATGCGTACGTAGTACCCCGTTTACGCAAGTATGCCAGCTCTCTGAGTCTGAGCCATTGCGCAAACCCTCTTGAGGGAGGACGTCGACGTTGAACGCCTGAGACATTCTATCAGGGGAGGGGTGTTTGCGGTTTACAAGTGCGTTTGAGAGCCTTGCCGTTCTCTGACATGTTATTAATAAATA